TTTTTTGCTTCTTTTTAATGACCTTTTTAGGCCTTTACCTCTCACACGGAACACATCTCCCATTTCCACAAACTCCTTTCGCACACTTTTTCTCGTTTATCTCCACACAATCATTATTCTCGGTATCCAATTTCGCTGATAACGGACACAAACATTGATAGCGATTTGTGCCAAATGCCACGTCGGCAGAGCTGGGGATCTGGAAGTTTCGAGAAGTTTCTAGAGGAATCTACAGTAATCCAAATACCGGAATACAGTCGCCATGTTTGCACGGATGTCTCGCGCAAGGATCGAATACCTCGCAAGTGTCTCCAGTGTAGTCTGGCTTGCACCTTTAATGGGATTACTGTAGTTTTGAGAAAACGAAGATTACTGTACTTTTGAAAGAAAATTTCAAAAAAAATTTCAACTCTTACACACAAGTAGCCTGCCCATTGATATCTACACACGCTCCGTGCATCGAATCAGTGCATTTTTCATCCCAACGGGCTCCGCGAGCAACTTCCTCTCGGGTCAATGAGCAGGCATCATGTCGCTTATATTCACAATAGTATCCATCGGTTAAAGGGTCGGTACATTCGCAACTGTGGATGTAATAGGCACGGGAAGTGGAGACTGGAAGGAGAAATTTTGAAATTTTGAATTCCCGCGCAGCCAAATCGACGTAAAAAGCAAGCAAAAATACTTTAAAAACATAAGCCCAATGCGGGGCTCGAACCCGCGACAACCAGATTAAGAGTCTGGTGCTCTACCGACTGAGCTAACCGGGCGGCGACAGGGAGAGAGGGCGAGTGCGTATAAGAAGGGGAGGGAAAGAGGCGCCACCGAGGAGACGCAGAAAGCGCGAGGGGAACGAAGAGGAGTATGGACTTCTGATATAGGATATTAAAATGCTTATAACTTTCTTCAAAATCAATATTTTTCAAAAATTCAAACTGTATTATGAAGCTCTCAAATAGCACTATGAAACAATATAAAAATCCAATCTTCAATTTTTGCTGGCAGCTGAGAAAAATGAGAAAAACTAAACAATGCCAATTCCGCTCACCTCTTATCACTTCTGGCACACATTTTCCGTTATTTTCACACCAAGATGTGGTCATTTGTCCATTTCGTGTTTTCCCATCGTGATAGTCATTTTGAATCGTCTCAAGTTCTGTGATATCCTTGTCCAAGCCAATATCAATTCTGAAAATAGTTTGAAGTATCTTGAATTACTGTAGTAAGGTTACTGAGAAATCAGCTTCTTGAAATATAGCGCAGAATTTCTGCCATCAGTACATGGGACCAATTCTTGGGGTATTGAGTTAGGGATCTCCAGTTTTTCGCAGTTTTCTCCTAAAAATTAACTTTTTAAGCTGTAGGGTCTATATTATAAAAGGTATTTACTTACCAGTTACCGTACCACCAATGATTTCCACCGTTCCTGGACATTTACACGTCGCAGTTACGGTTTTCGCCTGCAAAATTGTACATTGAAGAAGTTAGGCTATTTAGTTGTCTCAGAATGTTCACAGGTAGTTCAATTTAACACCGTTTTATAGCAATATTCAAGAACTTTCTAATACACATAGAATTTTTCAAAAAAATGGAATTTGAAGAAAGTTATGAGCATTTCAAAATCTATATTCAGTAATACACACCCCTCCCCGCTCCTCTTCCCGCTCTCTGCGTCTCCCCGCCAGCGCCACTTTCCCTCCCCTTCTTATACGCACTCGCCCTCTCTCACTGTCGCCGCCCGGTTAGCTCAGTCGGTAGAGCACCAGACTCTTAATCTGGTTGTCGCGGGTTCGAGCCCCGCATTGGGCTTATGTTTTTTAAAGTATTTTTTTGTTTTTTAAATGGGTATGGCTGGGCGGGAATCAAAAATTTTGAGTTTCTAAAAGGTTTTTCATGGTTTTAGAGATCTTAAACTCACCACTAAATCGACCTGATCCTCACAAATGCCACCATTCTCACACTGGGTATCGTAGCAAGCCGATAGTTGTTCACACTGTAATTTTCAAAGTTTGAGCTTTAAAGGGCCTAATTTCAAAGCTAAAAAGTCTTTGAAATGACTTAAAAGGCTTACCCGCTCTCCAAAGTACTGTTTTTCACATTCACAATGACAGTTTCCATCCTTATCAATTATCCCCTTTCCTCTGCCCAAACAATGAACTTCTTGACAATTTCTCTCTAATTCTGACTCATCACACAATCCCCCAAAATATCCCTTTCGGCAAATACACTCATAATCCACTTGAATATCGATTTCCTCCAATTCCTTATCTGTAAGTGGCTCTTTTACCCCCTTGGCAAGCCGTAATTCCTTCAAAAGTACAGTATTCACAATGGATCGTCGGTTTTTGGTGCTGAAAACGTTTATCTGTAATTTGGAGCGCTTGAGGGCCAAAGAAAAAAGAAGCAAAAAAAGGAAAAACAGAACTGAAGAGAGTGGGATTCGAACCCACGCCCCCGAAGGGACTGGTGCCTTAAACCAGCGCCTTGGACCGCTCGGCCATCTCTCCGACGAGGAAAGAAGGGAGCGAGCGCGTATAAGAAAGGGGTGGTGGACGAGAGAGCGCGAGGGGGTGGAGGGTGCGAGGGGGAGAAATTGGGTGAGGGGAAAATTTCAAAATTGCTCATTTTTTATCGTTTTTTCTCGTTTTTCTTGCATTTTTCACCAACCTAACGCAAGTCGAGTTGTTCTGACACAAATTCTTCACACAATTCGTTTGATCCGCCACGTGTTCGCATGTTTTACCGTAGTGAGTAACCGGACAAACACAATAGAAGCTAAAAATTTTAATTTGGCGCCAAATCAAAACTTTTATTGACCCACTTTCCATCCTCATTTCTACACTTGCCTTTATTAGCGCAAATCTCGCGATTTTCAAGGCAAGGATTGAAGTTTTTGTTCTAGAAAATTAATTTTTTTAATTTTTAAAAAACTTAAATTTGGCAAATTCGCTCTATCGTACTCTCTGAAACGCCACGCTTTCCTCATTGTAGTTTGGAGACTTTTCGATGTCCCCCGGAGCATCTTTATCCAGAAAATCAATCAGTTTTCGGATTTTTGAGCCTGAAATTCAAATATTTTGTAATTTTTTCAAATTTTTTGAATTCCCGCGTGATCTTCTATACCTGAAACCACATAATACAAAGCCAAAAATGGAATCAAGTTCATTTTACAAATTTTTTAATTCTAAAATTTTTAAAAAATTTATTAAAAGATGGCTGAAAAACGTGTGGATAGTGTGGTGGTAAGCTGGCAAAGCGTGAATTTTGATTTTTCAAAAATATGAAAAATTCAAAAATTTGAATTTCCCGCCAAATCTCAGCAACCCAAAAAATTTTTTTCAGAACTCCGCCGTCGAAGGAGCCGGACTCTTCTATGCGGTCCGTTTCGAGCCAATCCCATCGAAGACGTGTTTCGATGTCTCTTTGAAGACGGTAGGATTACTGTAGGGTTACTGTAATAGGGGTTTCTAATTTTTTTTCAACTTTTTAGACAATTTTTTCAAAAAGTCGACTAAAAGTTGCTGAAATTTGATTTAACTTGCTAAGACAGCATCAGTTAAAAAAGCAAAAAAGAATTGGACCCATGAGGAATTGAACCCGGGTCTTCAGATTCATGGGCAGACCGACTAGCCACTAGGCCACGCGGGTGCAGGCGGCCTCGCGAAACAGAGGGTATGAAGGATGGTGGTGGCGCGACTGGTGGCGCCGCCAACCTCCTCATTCTTATACGCACTCGCACCTTACTTCTCTAGTTGCACTGTGTGACCTGATGGGTTACACTGTTGCTTATGAATCTTACACTTGTTGGTTCGATTCCTTTGGGGGTCAGACTCTTTTTGCTTCTTTTTTACAGTACGCCCCGCCCCATTCCGAATATGTGGTTACTGTAAACATCCCGAAAACGTATCCCATGGCTCCTCCCGCCATATTTTGTAGGAAAGATCTAAAACTGAAATTCAAATTCCTGGACAAACAACAATGGAAACCAAGTATGGGGATTAAAGAAGGTATAACAAAGCAAAAAACAAAGACTTTCATCATAAAATAGGTCAAATTACAGTACTCATCGAGGCATGCCACGTGGTTTCGCGTCGAGACCTCTTGTCACGTCTTCCGATTCTGCCTAGTCTTCGTCCGCCGTTTCAGAAGAATCGAGGATCCAGAGAATCGAGATCACCAAAGAAATCTGCTGAAAAATCGAATTGAACTTTTCTTTTTGAATAGAATGAAGATTTGAAAAAAAATTTTTTTTGAAAATTTTCAGATTCTTTATAATTTTGGCTGGAATTGTTTTTTTTTTTTGAAATTCTTGTCTTTCATTCAAATTTTATAATTGAACATAATTTCCAAAATTTTTGTGAGAAAAATTATTTTTCGAGTTAAAATCTAGGCCATTTTCTCACGGTCAATTGAGATTGTCGTTGAGTAGCTAAATAGCCGATTTTCGCGGCAAAATTTGAAAAATGACAAAAATTCTTTTTCAAATTCCATCTTTCCTGCGTTGAGAGCTTCAAAACGAGTATAGACATGACCTACTTTGAACTATTTTGGGTTTTGAAGGGTCCATGCGCTTTTAAACTACCGTAACTCGCTTAGTTTTGCTCTGAACTTCACGAAAACTAGATTTTTGAACTCAACTTGTCATGAGCTTTAAAATGAGTATAATCATGGGTATGTTTCTTGAATTTGGACTTTTCGGTTTAAAGGCGCATACCCCATGTCAAAAATGGAAAATGTGAATTTTGCAAAAGTAGGTCATGACTATACTCATTTTGAAGCTCTTGACAAGCCAAGTTAAAAAATCATTGTTTTATAAAATTTGGATCAAAACTGAGTGAGTTACGGTAGTATTAAAGTGTTATGTCATAAGAGTGGGGTTTATGCGCCTTTGAACTACCGTAACTCGCTTAGTTTTGATCCAAATTTGATAAAAATGTTATTTCTGAAATTGACTTGTTGAGAGCTTCAAAATGAGTATAAGCATGTCTATGTTCCTTGAATATGGAATTTTTCCGTTTAAGGCGCAGTGAAAAATGGGAAAATACGAATTTTCAAGAACTAGGTCATGTTTATACTTATTTCAAAGCTCTGAACCAATCAAATTCAAAAATCTAGTTTTCACAAAATTTGAACGGAAACTGAGTGAGTTACGGTAGTTCAAACGCGCAACCTAGCCAAAAAGTGAAATATCTTGCCAAAATTGTTTGCAAAACTGTTTAAATGTTAAACAAAAGCTTTTAGTCTTTTTTTTCGTCTGTATGGTCCTTATCCGGATTCTGGTAGACCCCCTCCCCAATTTGTCCATTTCCCGGTGTCCATCTGTACCAAAAAGCCTAATCCCTCTCCCTGTCCCTTCATGTACCTTCTTCCTCCAATTTCCATAATGATACTCCACTGTCTGCCTTCTGTGTCCCCCTATGTATTCTTTTCATGACCACCATCTGCCTCCTCCTCCTTCCTGTTGACAGCTGCTTCTGACGGACCGTTCATTGGGGCGAAAGAACCATCTGTCCCTTTAAAGGAGGGGACAGTAATAAGTGGAAAAGCCCCCCAGGGGGAGCAAGGTCAATCATAGATTAAGCTTTGTGGTTTTTTCTGTGTTTCTAAAATGTTTTTTTTTTGGTTAATTTTCTATTTTGCCCCTCTATCGTTTAGCTCAAAAAATTCCAAGTTTTGATGGTTTACAAAACTAGGTCAATGTAATCGGATGTTTTTGAAATTTTCACAGTAAACTGAACAAAAATAGAGCTTCATTTTTGTAATTGACACTTTTTTCTAAAAACCCAGTCCTAGGGAGATATACCACTTGGAAGCGCCCCTTCCCTTGGGCGCTTTTGACCTCCCCCCTTGCGAGGTGGGCGCCCAAAGGTCTATTTTTGCCTGACTGCAAATATAGGTCAAAATTGTTGGATTCTTCTGAAATTTTCAAAGTGTTCTAAACAAAAATAGAGCTTCATTTTTGTAGTTGACACTTTTTTTTTTGAAAATTTAGTCCTAGGAAAATAAAGCACGTTTTTCAAAATAAGGGAAAAATTTGCATTTTCTGTCGAAAATGGCACATTGTTTGGCTATTTGAAAATCTGGGTCAAAATGGTCAGATTCTTCTGAAAATTTCAGATTATACCAATTAAAAATGGAGCTTCATTTTTATAGTTGACACTTTTTTTTGAAAATCAAGTCCTAGGGAGATATGACATGTGGAAGCTCCCCTTCCATTTGACGCTTTTGACCTCCCCCCTTGTGAGGTGGGCGCCCAAAGGTCGATTTTTGAATGACTGCGAATCTAGGTAAAAATTGTCGGATTCTTCTGAAAATTGCAGATCATACCAATTAAAAATAGAGCTTCATTTTTGTAGTTGACAGTTTTTTCTGAAAATCAAGTCCTAGGAAGATATTGCCCATGCTTGGGAACCGACCTGGGGGATGCGCCGTCCGCATTAGTGGGGTGGGGCGCTTCCACTTGGCATATCCCCCTGGGAATTGATTTTTCAAAAAAGTTGTCAACTATAAAAATGAAGCTCTAATTTTGTTTAGTGTGCTCTAAAAATTTCAGACAAATTCGACCATTTTGATTAGTTTTTGTATGTTTCTGAAAATCCAGATGCTCAATTCCCCCAATTTTTGGCCTCCTTGACTTGAGATTCCGTCCAAAAGCCATATATCAAACCCTACTATGGATTTGGATGTTTGTGAGGAAGAAAATATTCTAAAGTATCCAGAAGACGTCGTCGTCATTTGTAAAATTGAAGACGTCCCTCGGGAAGACCCGTCGTGTCATAAGTCTTCACACTCGAAAAGTTATGCGGCTTCGTTGTTGTTGGTTCCTTGAAGAGGACGATGATGACAAGTGGATCCTTTGGGAATATCTATGACGACGACATTCGGACATTTGGACACACAGAATTTTGTTTTCTGGAATTCAGTCAAAAATTCGAAAATCTCTTGTAACTTCTTCAACTTTGATTCAAATTTTATAGAAGTTTGATTTTTGAGCTTGTCTTGTTCTCTGTTTTAAAATAAGTATAATCATGGCCCACTTTCGAAAAATTCATATTTTCCATTTTTACCATGGGGTAAAAAATTCATGCGCCTTTAAACCAAAAATGTCCAAAACTAAGGAACGGGAGCATGATTATACTCATTTCAAAGCTCTAAACAAGGCAAGTTTAGAAATATTGTTTTCTCAAAGTTTGGGTGAAAACTGAGCGGGTTACGGTAGTTTAAAGGCGCATGGACCCTCCGAAAATCACGATTTTCCAAAGTAGGTCATGTTTATACTCATTTTGAAGCTGAAAATGTGATAAGCGTAAATATGTATATTTTGTAAGTTGAAAACAAACCTGGAAAAAAATTGTGCTGAAATTTCAGATTCTATTTATTTTCCGAACTCCAAAAACATTTTTAGACGTCATCATAATTTTTTTTCTTGGAATTTTTTTCATCTGAAAATACGATTCTAGGGATTTTGGGGCTTTTGGAAGGTTTCCTAGATACAGAACACGATAAGAGCTTCGGGGTTTCAGATGTTATTCGCTGGAAAAAGATCTGAAAAAATCTGAAAATCAGAAATTTTTCAAAAATTAACATTTTCAGATTTTACGTTTTTTTTTTTCAGACTGTTTTAGAGTCAAATTTTGTAATTTGCCTATTCAGGTTCATTTTCGCTATTTTTTCCAGAAAAAATTTCAGCGAAAAAACCAAAACTGCCAATTTTTGACTTAGTTTGAAAATCGTGCCATATCTCCTTAGAACTTAATTTTCAGAAAAAAGTGTCAACTACAAAATTGAAGCTCTATTTTTAATTGGTATAATCCGAAAGTTTCAGAAGGATCCGACAATTTTGACCTAGATTCTTAAAGAGTCAAAAAATGTCATTTTTACCTAAAATTGTCAATTTTTGTGCTTGTTTTGAAAAACGTACTATATCTCCCTAGGACTTAATTTTTAGAAAAAAGTGTCAATTACAAAAATGAAGCTCTATTTTTGTTTAGTATTCTTTAACAATTTCAAAAAGATCCAACAATTTTGACTTAGATTTTCAGACAACCAAATAATCCCATTTTTGACCATAGTTCCCAATTTTTCACTTGGTTTGAAAATCGTGCCATATCTCCCAAGGACTTAATTTTTCGGAAAAAGTGTCAACTACAAAACAAGCTCAATGTTTGTTCAGTACACTCAAAAAATTTCAGAAAAATCCAAAAAGTTTGAAATAGTGTTTCAGATTGTCAAAAACGACCTTCGGGCGCCTACCTGCCAAGAGGGGGGGGGGGGGAGGTCAAAAGCGCACAAGGAAAGGGGAGCTTCCACATGGCATATCTCCCTAGGACTTGATTTTCAAAAAAAAGTGTCAACTACAAAAATGAAGCTCTAGTTTTGCTTGGTATACTTTGAAAATTTCGAAAAGTTTGGAAAACTTTGACTTAGATTTTCAGAGAGTCAAAAAATGTCATTTTTGACCAAAATTGTCAATTTTTTGCTTGTTTTGAAAAATGTACTATATCTCTCTAGGACTTAATTTTTAGAAGAAAATGTCAACTACAAAATGAAAGCTCTGTTTTTGTTTAGTATACTCAAAAAATTTCAAAAAGATCCGACAATTTTCACCTAGATTTTCAGACAGTCAAAAATGTCATTTTTAACCGAAATTTCCAATTTTTCTTCTTCCCCAAAATCCCATATTTTCCAGTAGCAAATTGCTACAAAATCAGTGTCTCAGTATTCCAAAAAAAAGAAGAAGAAGAATATTAAAATTTGTCCCTCTTTTCATCCCTTCTTAGCCACCCCCATTCATTCATCCATCCAGAAGAGCCCCCCCCCCCCTCTCGCCGTCTGTCAGAGACTCCTCCTCTTTCTCTGCATCTCTCACTCTCTCCATGTTGACGAAGCCTAGAAGTGGAGGGACGTCTTCTCCTTTTTCCATGTGCACATTGGCAGAGCACGCCGTGCTTGGCTCTGCGTAGCCAACGGCTTCTTCTTCTTCTTCTTCCCCTTTTTCTCCTTTTTCTCCTTTTTCTTCTCATTGCTCAGCCTCTCCTAGTTGTGTTAGCCACGCTTTTCCTGAAGCTTGTTCAGTTTCGAGTTAGTTAGGTTAGGTACAAAATGCCCTTTTTCATGGACCCGAAAATGTCATTTTTCGAACCGCCTACTCGATTGCATCAGGCCAATCTGATGGGCTATGTGTTTTTAAAGTACCGTAAATTGCTCATTTTTCAGCTAAACTCTGTGAAAACTTAATTTTTAGACGTGACTTGTTAAGAGCTTCAAAATGGGTATAAACATGACGTAGTTTTTAAAATTCTAATTTTGGACAGGGAGTGAGCACCTTTGAACGGAGTCATGCGCCTTTAAGCTACCGTAACTCACTCGGGTTTCATTCGATTTTTTCGAAACGTTAATTTTTGAATTTGGTTTCTGAAGAGCTTCAAAATGAGCATAAACAAGACCTACTTTTAAAAATATCAACTTTTTGACAAGTGGTATGCGCCTTTAAACTACCGTAACTCATTCGGTTATGGTCTGAATTCTATGCAATTTCGATTTTTCAAATTTTCTTGTTTAGGGCTTCAAAATGAGTATAGTCATGACCTACTTTTGAAAATTTTGTATTTTTACCATTTTTCACGGGGTATGCGCCTTTAAACTGAAATTTTCAAAGTCGAAGGAACCTAGGCATGATTATATTTGTTTTGAAGCTCTTGACTTGGCAAGCTCAAAAATAGTAGTTTCATTGAGTTTGAACAAGAACTAAGCAAGATACGGTAGTTGGAATTTTTGATTTTTGTCAAATTTGAAATTTTCAAAGATTTCTTAAGCTTTTGATGTTGTTTATCACCCGTTAAACTACAAAAAATTGTTTTGCCTAGTTCCAAAAATATTGTTTATCACATTTTAAGCTACATATCTTGACTTTTTAGGTCAAATATAACATTTTGGAAATTTTTAAATTTTTGGATTTTGGATTCTGATCATGCTCTTTTAACATCGGAAATTTCAAGTTCTGGCATATTAATATTCATTTTAAAAAGTATTTGCCAGTTGAATTGCGTTTAGTTTGCTCATTTCCTCTCAATTTCCTGTTCTGGAACTTTTTTCCCTAGCGCCAAAAAATAGCTGACTTTGGGCGGCCCATAACTTTTTTGATAGGCAAGCTACAGTAGTTAAAATAATGTCATTATGTAGGATTTTATAAATTCTATTAAATCCAGTTTGGTTTATTTAAAAATATGAATTCTGAAAAAAGTTACATGCCATCTAGTACCACACACGTTCTTACCCTATTGCAGCCAAAAAAGGTCTGAAATTGGACAACCCATAACATGTTTTTTAGACAAGTTACAGTAGTTAAAGTAGTATCATTTTGTAGAATTTTTCAAGGTTCATTAGTTGCAATTTAGTTTGTTTGAAAATACTAAATTTGAAAAAAGTTATGAGCCGTCCACTGCCGAACCCCATTTGGGACCTATTTTCACCCAAATTCCCTTGTTTTTCAAGCATTTTAAGCGGATTTTTTAGCTCAATCCCATTTTTCCCACAATTTACAATTATTTTGCAGCTTGCCACCATTCCACCAACAGTAGCAGTCGCCGCGGCACCATCGGCTGCTGTAATGGTGCAGCAGGGGCACGAGATGCGCGCCAGCAGCACCTCATCCACCGACTCAAATGGGTTCCCTGTCAAAGATGCGGACGCCATTAAACTTTTTGTTGGGCAGGTTTGTCTTGAATTGGGCTGAAAATTTGATATCAGAAGAAAGAGCGCTTCAAAATGAGTATAAACACGGCCTAGTACTGAGAATTTTGATTTTTGACGGGTTATGGGCCTTTAAACTACCGTAACTCACTTCTTTTTAGTCGGATAGTCATGCAAACCTGATTTTTTAGGTTGGCTAGTCGAGAGCTCCAAAATGAGTATAATCATGCCTAGGTTCCTTTGATTTTGAAATTTCGCAGTTTAAAGGCGCATACCCCCCTCCCCAGGTGAAAATGGGAAAACAAGAGTTTATTAAAAGTAAGTCAAAATTATACTCATATTAAAGCTTTTAACAAGCTGATGTCTAAAAATCAAAATTTTCAAAGTTTGGATTAAAAGTGAGTGAGTTACGGTAGTTTATATGGGTGGAATCGTTGGTTTATGCACCTTTAAACTACCGTAACTCGCTTAGTTTTGATCCAAATTTGATAAAAGTGGTATTTCTGAAATTGACTTGTTGAGTGCTTCAAAATAAGTATAAACATGACCTACTCTCTCAATTTTCATATTTCCCCATTTTTCACCGAAGGGTATGCGCCTTTAAACTCGAAATTTCAAATTTCAAGGAACCTAGGCAAGATTATACTTGTTTTGAAGCTGTCGACAAGTTTAATCCAAAAATTCTAGTTCAGCAAAAATTGAGCCAAAAATAAGCGGGATACGGTAGCTTTAAAAATATTTTTGACCATAACAAAATACGATGATTTTTTAGCCTATTATTCACATTTTGATGAAGCCATGCGAAACAGAGTTTTGTTGAGTCAGCTACCTTAAAAACAAAAATCTTAAAATCTGAGGATTTAAGAAAAAGAGAGAAATTTGTCAACAAAAATATCACACAAAAAATCAAAAATCATTGATTTTTTGTTTTCCACAGTATCTCGGCTACAGTAATCTGAATTGCTCAGAAATATAGAAAATTAAGTGCAAAATGGGAAGAGCTTCAAAATGAGTATAAACATGACCTAGATTGGAAAACAGTCCTTTTTTTCCATTTCATACTGGGGGTATGCGCCTTTAAACTACCGTAACCCACTCGGTTTTGATCTGATTTTTATGAGAACTAGATTTTGAAATTAAGATGGTTGAGAGCTTCAAAATGAGTATAATCATGACCGAATTTCGAAAATTCTGATTTTTGACATGGGGCTTGCGCCTTTAAACTGAAATTTTCAAGCTTTGAGGAACTAGGCATGATTATACTCATTTTGAAGCTCTTGACAAACCTATTTCAAATACGCTAGTTTAATCGAGTTTGCACCAAAACTAAGAGAAATACGGTAGTTTTCCCTAAATGCACTTTGAATTTTCCCAAAAAGAGCACAAATCGATTAGCCCGCGGCGTTAGTCCCGAAAGGAAACGAAGAAGAAGACAAACTTGACACGAAGGAAATAGTGTATGTATAGTGAGAGACGCAGAGAAATGAGAAACCGGAAGGCGTAAGAGCAAATTTAGTGGTGGGATATCTATTCTGAGATGGATGGATGGATGAGGATGAAGAAGAAGAAGACGTCACGCAATCTGGAGTAATGGGTCATGAGGTGACCTTGAATCTCACTTTAGTTTCTCAAAGGGACCAAAAAACAGAACGTTTAGAGCACAAAGTACCGTATCTCACTCGATTTTGACTCGAGCGTCATGAAATTTGTATTTTTGAATTTGTCTTGTTTTAAGCTTTAAAATGAGTATAATCATGACCTACTTTTGAAAATTTTCGAATTTTGACTTTAAAGGCGCATGGACCATCGAAAAATTGAAGTCGGTCAAATTGGGTCGTGTTTGGGTTCATTTTGAAGCTATAAGCAAGGCAAACTCAAAAATCTAGTTTTCATTGAGGTTGGTACAAAAATAAGCTAGATACGGTAGTTACTGTATCCCTTTTTTTCACCTGGGGTATGTGCCTTTAAACCGAAATTTTCAAAGTTTAAGTAACGTAGGCAAGATTATACTTATTTTGAAGCTCTCAACAAGGAAAATTTAACTATATAAATTATAATAGAGATGAAAATTAAAAAATTAAAAATTAAATTAAAAAACGACGAAAATTAGCTAGATACGGTAACTATCGCTTTCGAAAACCAGGCCAGTGTCTTTAAACTACCGTAATTCCCTCAGTTTCGATCCAATTTTCAAAAAAGCTACATTTTTGAAACTTTTGTGTTCAGAGCTTCAAAATGAGTATAAACATGACCCACTTTTGAAAAATTCCTATTTTCCCAATTTTCACCTGGGGGTATGCGCCTTTAAAGTGAACGTTTCGAAATCTAAGGAACCTGGGCATGATTATACTCATTTTGAAGCTCTAATCAACGCAAATTCAAAAACGAATTTTCTAAGAATTTGGATTAAAACTGAGTGAGATACGGTAGTTTAAAGGCCATGCCTCGCTTAAAAATGGCCGAAAGTCGGAAACTTTCAAAGTATGGCATGTTGATACTCATTTTGAAGCTCTTACTGAGAGAAATTCAAAAATTCACACATCTCATTTTTTGGCAGAAAACTAACAAAGTTATGGACAATTTTAAAGCAAAAATTCTTGCAGATTCCCCGAAACCTGGAAGAAAAGGACCTTCGACACCTATTCGAGCAGTTTGGCAAAATTTATGAGTTCACAATACTCAAAGACAAGTATACTGGTAGGTAATATGGGTGTCACCCCTTCTTCTTACACCGGAATCACGGTTCGCCGATTCTCATCGGGAAGCTCCGCCCACTTTTTTCTAAAGATCTTGATGAATTCATTCAGGTATGCACAAAGGCTGCGCATTTCTCACATTTTGCCATCGCGACAGCGCCCAGAGGTGTCAGACGACGTTACACGATCAGAAGACGTTGCCAGGGGTAAGTGCAGTGGCTTAGAAATCCAAAAATTCCATATTTTGGAATTTTTTAAAATTTATTGATCTAGCGTCATCTCTAGATCATAACACAATTTTCAGCTTCAAAAAATATTGTTTTTGAGCCAAGTTACCACGGTTTTAAGATGGTGGCCTAGAAATCCAAAACTAGGCCATGACTTCAAAAGGCTCTAACTTGGCTCAGAACTGGTATTCTTGAATTTTGATATCAGTTTCAAATTTGACTCGATAAGAGCTTCAAAATGAGTATAATCATGACTAGATTCAGAGCAAATTGAAATTCTGGGGTAGTGGCCTAGAAACCCAAAGCTCGGTCATACCTTGAAAAGGGTGTAACTGGGTTCAAAATTCATATTTTTAAAAACTAATTTTAGTTTTGGAATTGGATCGTTGAGAGCTTCAAAATGAGTATGAACATGACTAGATTCTATATAATTTGAAATTCTAGAGTGGTGGCCTAGAAACCCAAAATACGGCCATGACTTCAGAGGGCTCTAACTTGGCTGAAAATCGTCGGTTTTTGGGATTTAATAATTGCAAATGACTTTCCGAACATTTCCTAATTCGATGGCATATAATTTGATCATTTAGGTATTTATGATGGCCTAGAAACACCAGGGATGGCCTAGGAAACCAAGTTTTGAAAAAGTTAGGCCATGAATACACTTTTCGACAATTTTCGATTTCTCATGTTTTTCTGAGTTTAGAACAGCTTCCAAACTTCAAAAATATCAATTTTAAGCCCAGTTATACCGGTTTCAGGGTGGTGGCCTAGAAACCCAAAACTAGGCCACAACTTCAAAAAGATGTAACTTGGCTCAAAATAGATATTCTTGAATACTGATTTTAGTTTTGAAATTGGCTTGTTCAGAGCTTCAAAATGAGTATAATTATGACTAGATTTTAGGAAAGTCGAAATTCTAGATGTTGGTGGCCTAGGAACCCCCAAGGGTGGCCTAGAAAACCAAATTTTTCCGAAGCATGCCATGAGTATACTCATTTTAATGCTCTTAACAAGACGAATCGAGTCATATTATAAACGAAACGATTGAAAAGAGGTAAAACGAGTTATGGGACTTTGAAAAAAATTCCAATTTGTTTTAACTCAGCTTGTGTTATAGCTAAATTGCTGGCTAAAATTGAGCGAAGTTTTTTGGGGAGGTCCCAAATTTTGAAGACGTACAAGAAACGGGAAAAAGTAGGCGATTCGTTAGTTCCGTTGGGCAAAAAGGGGGAAAGAATGGGGAGGGGACAAAATTTTTCGGAAATTTCTGATTGAATTTTCTGTGTGCTGCACGGGACCCCTGTCTTTTTCTATGTGTCTTTTAGAATAGAGAGACCTCTGGGGAACGAATTGGATTAGGTACGTAACGGGCGCATCTGTGTGTATTGGATAGAATAAAAAGAGACAGAGAAGACGTGTTACTTTTCGAGCCATTCTCTTTTCTACACCCCCCAAAACTGAGCAATAGCATTCTAGTCGAAAAGTTTTGGAACGTTTATTTGTAAGTTTTTGCTGAAATACCCTTTAAAAATGGAAAAATTTGCTTTAATGGAGCCATTTTAAGCTTTGAGGCGGGTTTTTGTGAAATTTGTGAAATTTAAAATCTACCGTAACTTTTTGAACTCTGATCCGAACACACAAAAACTTATTTTTTTGAACTCACGAGCTTATAAGCTTCAAAATGAGTATAAACACGACATGTTTCTAAGAACTTCAATTTTCGACTTTAAAGGCGCATGGGTCCAGGGCAAAAATCAATTTTCTCAGAATCTACCCATGATTATACTCATTTTGAAGCTCATAACAAACTGATTCCATAAACCTAGTTTTTGAAAAGCTTGAAGCGAAACTGAGTGAGTTACGGTAGTTTAAAGAAGCAGACCTCTCAAAAAACCTCGCAAAAATTGTTAAAAACCGGATTTCTCGAAAGTAGGGCATGATTATACTTATTTTGAAGCACTTGATAAGTCAAACACAAAACTGGAAAGAAAATGCAAAAATATCAAATTTGAGCCAAGTTACAATCATTGGAAGATGTGGCCTAGTTTTGGGTTTCTAGGCGACTACCCCAGAATTTCAACTTGCCCAGAATCTAGTCATGTTTATACTCATTTTGAAGTTCTCAATGAGTAAATTTCAAAACTAAAATCAGAATTCAAAAATACCAATTTTGAGCCAAGTTAGTTTTTTGAATTCCCGGCCTAGTTTTGGGTTCCTAGGCCACCATGGTGTAACTTGACTCAAAATTGATATTTTTTGAAATCTGAAAACACTGTTGAACTCAGGAGAACATGAGAAATCGAAAGATATAACTCATGGCCTAGCCTTTTCAAAATTTGGTTTTCTAGGCCACCCCCGTGCAACTTGGCTCAAAATTGATATTTTTGGAATTTTTCAAATTGAGATGAATTCCCAAAAATTCTAAATTATCAATTTTCCAGATGAACCGAGCGATGCAAGTGAAACCAGCCGACACAGACAGCCGTCCGGCAAGTCCCAAAGATAAAATGGATGATAAGAAGTTGTTCATCGGGATGCTATCAAAACAACAGTCCGAAGACGACGTTCGCACGCTTTTTGCCGCGTTTGGAGAGTTGGATGAGGTACGGTAGTTGTAGCGTTTTTAGAAATTTTCGAGAGAAATGCCCAGGGCAAGTCTGGCTCCCATTTTTATAATGTTTTCGACATAATCCCTGGGGAGAAGGGGGTCCGGAAACTTGGGACCGCAGAAATATCCCTAGGATATGTATAGCCTACTTCCTGCAATTTTTTGGCAACACCTTAAGGATCGAAATAGCCAAAAACGGGTCAAAAACCTTCCAAATTCTATAGTAGCCGCCAAGAGCTTAAAACCGGCCATCATTGGCCGGAGCATACCTTCTTGTAGGTAAACTATTTTGATGCCAATCAAATTGGATATGATAGAACAGCTTGAGAACTGTAAAATGACACTACTTGCTATACTATACCGTGTCTATGAACGAAGTTACAAGCCAAATACTACGGAAGGCCTCCAAAAAAGGTAGGAAGGCCTCCGACCCCAGAGGTTTTTCTGTAACTTTGTTCATTGATAAGATTGAGCTGATTATTTAACATCATTTTGTAGTGCTTTTCAAGTTCTATAATATCCATTTTAGTAGGTTAAAAAATATTGTTCCCGGAAAAAGTTATGAGCCGGTGAATGTGAACACTTTTGACCCGTTTTTGGTGCGTCCCTGATCCGTTTTCCATCTACAACTACAATCAGACTAACTTTTCTAGGTAACAGTGCTCCGTGGTGCCGACGGAGCATCTAAAGGATGTGCATTTGTAAAATACAAATCCGGATTCGATGCTCATATGGCGATTTCCGCGCTTCATGGATCCCAAACCATGCCAGGAGCATCGTCAAGTCTTGTTGTAAAATATGCAGACACTGAAAAAGAGCGACAAAACCGTCGAATGCAACAAATGGCCGCGCAAATGGGAATGTTGAATCCTCTACTGGTGAATCAAGTCGGTCTACAGTATAACACGTATCAGCAGGTGCTCCAACAGCAAGCAATTGCCGCACAGACATCTGCTGCTAGTGTTGCATATCTGCCATTGCTACAGCAACAACATACGGCTACGGTAGGTGGAAAACCTTCAAAAATGCGGTGTATGCGCCTTTAAAATCCCAAGGTTTCAAAGTTAACTTTTGAAGAGTACGCGCCTTTAAACTACAGTAACATATTCAGTTTTGATCCAAACTCTTGCCAATTTTCAGGACCCCCTCCAAATGCTGCAATTCCAAGCAGCGGCTGCAGCCGCCGCAGCTACACCGGTCATGCCCCAACAACAACCCCAACTCGCCGCCCAGATCCAAGGACTCCAGTCCGCAGCAGCAGTTTCCCAAAATCCCCATTACGCCTTGGCCGCACAAGCGTTGGCCCAACAACAGGCCGCCCAACAGGCCCAACAGGCCGCAGTGGCCGCCCACGCACAGCATACAGCTGCTGGACACCAACAGGTGCATTCAGGAGTCAATCAGACTGCTCCAGCGACTTCTACGGCTCAGGGAGATGCTGCGAGCTCTTATGCGGCAGCGGCGGCCGCTGCCGCCGCAGCTGCTAGCTACAATTCGCTTATTTCCGGGATTGAGAGTCAGCATAGTGAGTTTGGGGCATATTTTCCCAACTAGATAAACACATTTTCGGGAAAATTCCAAAACATTTTTGGATCTGTTTTTTTTTCAGTTTTTTATGTCGAAATTTGAATTCAGCTCTGAATTTGCAAGATTTTGATGCCCATATTGCCAACTTGTGGCGGTTTTTATTTTTTGCCCAACCTTTGCCCAACCATTGGGCCAGCCTGGGGCAAAACCCAAGAATTGCCGAAACCTGGCAATATAGGTATCAAAATGTCGCAAATTTTGTGCTTGATTTATTCCTAGTTAGGGAAAATCAAAAAAAGAGACAAATTCTCAGAGTTTTCAAAAAATCCAATAATTTCGAAATTGCCAATTTTCGATCTTGAATAAAACTTCTTTAGTTTTAACCATTAAAGTTCGATATTGGCTCGAAATTTGCAAAATTTTGATACCCATATTGTCAGTTTTCGGCAATGTTTGGTTTTTGCCCAAGGTTTGCCCACAGGTTGGGCAAAGGTTGTGCAAAAAATGAAAACCACCAAAGCCTGGCAATATGGGTGTCAAAATGTTGGAAATTTTAAGACAAACGCGAATTTGAAGTTGAACAACTTCAAAAGTCACTTTGAAACCGATAATAGGTAATTTTGAAACATTTTTTAAAATTTCGAATTTGTGAAATCACAAACTTCTTCAAAGTTTGTGATTTTTTCAGTTTCTCATACTGAAATTTAAAATCAGCTCTAAATTTGCAAGATTTTAATACTCACATTGCCAGGTTTCGGTGCTTTTCATTTTTTGCCCAACCTTTGCCCAACCTTTGGGCAAACCTTGGGTAAAAATCAAAAATTTCCAAAACCTGGCAATATGGGTATCAAAATGTCGGAAATATTGTGCAAATTTTAGATTTTCAAATGAGAAATGTTGCTTTTTGGGATTTCCATAATTCGGGGAACATTTTGAGTCCAAAAATGACCGAATTGGGCTGAAATTGTCTATCAAAACTAGGAAAAATACTACAGTAATCCTTGCAGATGCCGCCGCCGCCCTTCAACTGGCTCAAATGCAGCAGCAAGCTGCCGCAGCGCTCCCAATGATAACTCCAAAAGAAGGTGAAAATTCTGAATTTTCAGATTTTCAGATTTTTTTCTCTTTAAATCTAAAAAAAAATCTAGTTCTAAGAGCCTAAAAGTCCCAAAAAGTGGTTTTATATTTATATATTTTTTGTGCAATATATTTCTCAATATTTGATCGATTGTTGTGAGGTCTCAAATATCACATATATTTTTTTCTATTTTCTATATTATGATTTTTTCCTCTATATTGATTTTTTTCTCGACAGGATATGATGATGGCTTGTGATGGTAGTAGTGATGGAGAGTATTATTAGAAGAAACACTTTTAAAAACTTATTTGGAGTTGGAATACTTAGAATTCCAGAATTTGCCGCGTTGAGAGCTTCAAAATGAGTATAAACATGGCATTATTTGATTTTTGACCTGTGACACTAAAGCTACCGTAACTCGCTTGGAGTCGATTCAAACTCTTAGAAAAATTGATTTTTGAATTTAGTTTGTTGAGAGCTTCAAAATGAGTATAATCATGACCTACTTTTGAAAAATTCATATTTGCCTATTTTTCACCTGGGGGTATGCGCCTTTAAACAGGAAATTTCAAAGTTCAAGAAACATAGGCATGATTATACTCATTTGAAAGCAAATAACTTGAAAATCCGATTTCTGTAAGTTTCATGCGATTTTGGGTCGAAATCTGAAAAGTTATGGGCAATTTCGCACCTCTCAAGAAATGTATTACGCTAAAACTACCGTAACTTGCTCGGTTTTGATCAATGTACAACAATCTTTGTATGGTTGAATTTGGTTTTAAAAAAGCTTTAAAATGAGTATAGTCATGACCCACTTTTGAAATTTTCGATTTTTCACGATTTTTGACAGGTGGTATGCGCCTTTAAACCGGAAATTTCAAAATTCAAGGAACATAGACATGATTGCACTTAATTGAAAGCAAATTAAGTGAGAAACTCAGTTTTTAAAGTTTTAGCAGTCCCACGGGCCCACAGGCCTACCGCGAGCTTTATGACCGTTTAGACCGACACCGACCGCCACCCCGCGGCCGAAACACTTTCTCCCCTAAACCTAGTCTTGTTTATACTCATTTGAACCGTCTCAAAGCGTAGATTCCAAAAATCAAAGTTTCCAAACTCGCTGATCAATGGTTAATGAGAAAAGAACCCGGAAAAACATCTGTTGTATGTCGTCGTCTCTTCATTTTCCTTTTTAGTGCTTGGTCCCGATGGCTGCAACCTTTTCATCTATCATCTGCCGCAAGAGTTTGGCGACGCGGAACTCATTCAGATGTTCGCGCCGTTCGGTCACGTCGTGTCCGCCAAAGTGTTTGTCGACCGTGCCACTAATCAGAGCAAGTGCTTCGGTTCGTGTTCCAATTTTTTCTTTTTTTTAAATAATTTCAAAAATTCTGTCCAAAAATTTCGAAAACTTCCGGAAAACTCCAAAAAATAATTCAAAAAAATGTTTTTTCCAAAATTTTTTTTTTCAAAATTCAAATTTCCCGCCAAATTGTCAATTTGTGAGTGCGACTATTCTTTCCGACATATTATTCTAGCTTATCATATCCACAGCACGATTATTTTTTTTTGATATTTTTTTATGTATTTCTCATCGTTGGTGAACTTTGGTGCTTATATTTTTGTCGGTCAGAGTGGTCCCCTCCTCACTTATTGATTTTTTGTGAACATTTTTCCCACTAGTTTTTAGTTTTCAAAAAATTTCAATATTATTTTCGAATTCCTTGAAAAATTTGGAGCGTTTTGAGCTCAAAAATAAAAAGTTTTGATGGATTTTGAAAATTTCGAAAATTTCGAAAAATTTCAGATTTACCAATTTTCGGTTTTGAAATGATTTTTGCAGTTTCTCATACTGAAAATTGTAGTTAGCTCGAAATTTGCGAAATTTTGATGTCCATATTGGCAGGTTTTGGTGATTTTCATTTTTTGCCCAACCTTTGCCCAACCTTTGCCCAACCTTTGGCAAAAACCAAAAATTGTCGAAAACTGGCGATATGGGTATCAAAATGAAGCAAATTTCAGAGTGAATTCATTTCAACTTGGAAATTTCAGAAAAAAAAACCAAAAAAAGAACCCAAAAATGACAATTTTCACATTTTCCAAAAACTCGAAAAGTTTCAAATTTCCCAATTTTCGGATTTAAAATGATTTTTACTGAAATATGAATTTAGCTCAAAATTTCCAACATTTTGAGATCCATATTGCCAGGTTTCGGTGATTTTCATATTTTGCCCAATCTTTGCCCAACCTTGGGCAAAAACAAAAAATTGCTGAAACCTGGCAATATGGACATCAAAATGTTTCACAATTTATGCTAAATCCATTTTTTATCAGAAAACTACGTAAAAAACCCGAAATGACCAACTTTCGACCATTTTTCAAAAATTTGCCCAACTTTTGCCCAACTTTGGGCAAAAATTGAAAATCGCCGAAACTCGTATCAAGATGCCGGAAATTTTGAGCCAAATTCAATATTCAATTCAAAAATATGGAGAAATATCTTTTTTCGCCCATTTCTCGAAAATTTGCCCAACCTTTGACCAAACAAGGGCAAAAAATGAAAATCGTCAAAACCTGGCAATATGGGTATCAAAACTTTGCAAATTTTATGCTGAATTCAGATTTCAATATCAAAAACCTCAAAACTAAAAGATTTTCCAAAAAAAGTTCAATTTCCTAAAATAAATTTTCAAAAAAGTCGGAAAAAGTTCGTTTTTTGACATTTTCCGACCCAACAATTTGCCATAACCCTGGCAATATGGGTATCAAAATGTCAGAAATTTTAGGCCAAATTCAAATTTCACATTTAAAACTCAAAATTTCGTATTTTTTGTGTCGTTCTCACCCAGTTTTCTTTCATCTTTCTAGGCTTCGTTTCGTACGACAACATTCACTCGTCTCAAGCGGCAATCGCCGCGATGAACGGTTTTCAAATCGGCATGAAACGTCTGAAAGTGCAGCTGAAACGGCCTCGAGAAGCCAGTCGTCCATATTGATTGATTATTGATTTATTTTTTTCATTTTTTTGCGATTGCTCATCTCCTATTTCCGTGAATCTCTATTCTAGTGCCATACCATATTGTGTCCTACTGTAGTTCTACTTTTTTTCTATTTTTTGTACACTATTTTCTAACATTTGTAGCATGTGTGACCCCTTTATTGATCTTATGTATTGCACTTCACCAAAAAAATTCTGAAAAAACATTTTTTGGAATTTTTTAAAATTGTGTCCCCCAGCGAATTCTAGTGTCATTTTGTGTGTTTTGTCTCTCTTTAAACTCTCTCCTCCCTCGTCCTAGGCTCTGCTCCCTTTTTTGGCGGGAAATTCAAAAATCCGAAAACTATTACAGCCCAGCAACGACATATGGTCCCGTGGAGTCTTCAGAAACAGATCATCGGCAGACAACACTTTCAACATCACACAACAAAAAGCCCGTATTTTCTAGTAAGATCTCCTTATATTTTTTGAAAACTTCAGAAAATTTGACGCATTCTGAGCCGAAGAACGGAAAATTTTGGAAAAATTGAAATTTAGGCTCCGCTAGCTCTGAAATTAGTCTTAAACTGCTTGAAACCTAGATTTTCGAAAAGAACTCGTTTGGAGCTTTGAAATGAGTATAATCATGGCTATGTTCCTTGGAATTTGAAATTTCGAGTTTAAAGGCGCATGGACCCTCGGAAAATTAAAAATTTCAAAAGTAGGTCATGATTATACTCATTTTAAAGCTTTCAACAAGCTATGTTTTCAACAAGCTAAATATAAGTTTCCAGAACTTTGAATCAAAACTGAGTGAGTTACGGTAGTTTTTGTCTCTAAGTCAAAAAACACGGTTTCCGAAAATCGGTCATAACTTCGCCAATTTTTGCCCTAAATAGAAAATTTTTTCCGTTTATATTAGAACTAACTAAGAGCTTCATAATGAGCCTCATCTTGCCCATATTCGAACTTTCCGATTTTTGCCCAAAACTTGCCCAAAACCAAGTTTTTTGTCTCAAAACGCGTCAAATCGTCTCAAAGTTTTCTCAAAATAGTGGTGTGGATGAGTTGTCGCTGTCCTACTATAGATACTTTTTTCTCATGATTTACCATTTTTTGTCCTTGCCCATCGAAAATTCTAAAAGTTTCCGGTTTTTCCCAGAAAACATACCAAAAAATTTTCTAGACGAGTTTTCAAGAGTCGAACACACCAAATTCGGAATTTTCATGAAATTTCCGACAATTTGAACCCCGATTTGACCCATTTTGGACATTTTTCATTTTTGCCCTCGCCTTGCCCAAAGATGGGCAAAGTTAGGCAAAATTTCAAATTCCTCCAAACCTGGGCATGTTTAGGCTCAGAATTTCAGAAATTTCATGGGAATTCTGATTCTGATACTTTCAAATGTGATCTCTTTCATTTTTTCTGCTTTTTTGCCCATTTTTTATGTTTCTCCCGGCTTTCCGTATTGATCTCATGGAGGATTTCGGCACTTTTTTGTGTTGATTTCTGGTCCGCCCCTTTTTTGTATTTTCAATCAAAACTAGCGCCGTCACGATGATCTCATGGCAGAGAAATCCCACTTTTCTCTGGTCCAAACCCCCAATTTTTCGACCAAAAATTATTTTTTCCCCTGTATTTTTAACAATAGTTTAGTTGAATGTGAATGTTCTAGTCATTTGAACCCCCCACCCAATCTTGTCATCTTGAATTCCAAAATAAAATATTTTATTTCAAAAATTTTTAAATAATTTTCAGATTTTTCAATCCCGAAAATTGACCATAACTTGGCCAATTTTTGTCCAAATCTGAAAACTCATTCAGTTTTGAGTTTCGCGCATGAATAGCTTCAAATCACGGCTATGTTTCTTGAAATTCGAAATTTTCAGTTTAAAGGCGCATGGACCCTCGAAAAATAAAATTTCTCAAATATAGTCATGCTTATACTCATTTTAAAGCTCTCAACAAACCTAATTAAAAAATTTAATTCTCTAAAAGTTTGGATCAAAACTGTGTGAGTTACTGTAGTTTTGGTCTCTACGCCAAAAACCACATTTCTCCGAAAATTGGCCATAACTTGGCCAATTTTTGTCCAAATCTGAAAACTCATCCAGTTTTGAATTTCGCGCATGAATGGCTTCAAAGTAAGTATAATCACGGCTATGTTTCTTGAAATTCGAAATTTTCAGTTTAAAGGCGCATAAGATAAATTCGTTACGGTAGTTGAACCTCTACGCCAAAAATCCGTATTTCTGATAATTGGCCCTAATTTGGTAAATTTTTGCCCAAACTAAAAAAGTCACTCAGTGTTGAGTTAAACGCATCGAGAGCTTCAAAATAAGCATAATCACGGTTATGTTCCTTGAAATTTGATTTTTCGAGTTTAAAGGCGCATGGACCCTCGGAAAATTAAAAATTTCAAAAGTAGGTCATGATTATACTCATTTTGAAGCTCTCAACAAGCTATGTTCAAAAATATAAGTTTCCAGAACTTTGAATCAAAACTGAGTGAGTTACGGTAGTTTTGGCGCATACGTCAAAAACGGCTATTTTTAAAATGTTCCCAAATATGGTCGTGTTTAGGCTTGTTTTAAAGCGGTTCTTCTGCTGAATCTAAAAACTTACAATTCAAGATAAAATAAAAAGTTTTATCACAAATAATACAAAAAAAAAGATTTTCCTAAAACCCATTTTCGGTTTCTGGTCCCGTTAAGAACACATTTTTGATATAATCCAAAATATTGAATTCGATTGGCTTTCGCTCGGGATTTTCAGCGTTTTCAACAATTTCAGCATCTCCAGAACCTTCTGGAACAGTTTCAGTGGTTTCAGGCTCTGGCGTCGTAGTGTAGTAGCTCATTGGAGCAATCAATGGAGAGTCCGGAGTGGCACACCAGCAACGGTGTTGGAAGCAAATTGGGATACGGTCGAGCTGCAAAAATTAAAATTTTGAAGTTGGAAGAGAAATTCTGAACTTTTGAGCCCAAACTCGACTTTTTTTGGACAAAATTTGAAATTTGGTATTTTTGGACTAAAAACCTGGGTCCAAAAGTCTAAAGCTTGGACCCAAAGTGCTTTAAAAATGGATGAATTGTGTTTGTTCTGTTATGTGCTTCAAAATGAGACCAAACACGGCTATATTTGAAAAACTTCGATTTTTCGAGGGTCCATGCACCTTTAAACTGGAAATTGCAACTTTTAAGAAACCTAGTCATAATTATACTCATTTTGAAGCTCTTGCCTTGCTAAATCCCAAACTAAAAGTTTTTTTCTAGTTTGGGCAAAAATTGGCCAAGATATAGTCAATTTTCAGAAACTGGTTTTTTTGGCCTTGAGGACAAAAGACCGTAACTAATTGAGTTTTTGTCGGAAATGGGAGATTTTAATATTTTGGAAATTGGCTTGTTAAGAGCTTCAAAATGAGCCTAAACACGGCTATATTTGGAAGATTTCGATTTTTTCGAGGGTCCATGCGCCTTTAAACTGAAATTTTCAAATTTTAAGAAACATAGTCATGATTATACTCATTTAAAAGCACTTAGTGAGCTCAACTCAAAACCATACGTTTTTTAAAGTTTGGGCGAAAATTAGCCAAGTTATGCCCTATTTTCGGATCCCTAGCCTAAATAGGCCAAAAACTCGAAATTTCAAAATAGCCCGATTTGGGTCATTCTTGAACTCAAAATTTTTGGCTGAGCGTGGAAATGCTAACTAGGGATTGACTCACAGAAGATGTGGAGTTATGGGACGAGACCTATATCATTCGAAAGAGGATGAAATTTCATTTTCAAATATATGCTCAGTTTTTGCGGCGGCCTCCGCTAACTCGAGAAATTTGGGTCAGAAGTTTTCAGTAGATTTTGCACTGAAATGCATACGTGAACGCTTCCACGTACCCTCATTTCTTTTATACGCTTTGAAGAACCATTGAAAACAGCAGTGGGATGGTTCAGTGGTAAAGCGGCGGGATGGGGAAATGGTACTCTATGGTTCGACTCCTTCATAGTCGAAACTCTTTTTTTATTTTTTGTTGGTTTTTTATATGACCTCATTGCTCATTGCTCTGCAAACTAATGATCAAACTGATGATTAATTGTTGAAAAAGTTCCACGATTATGTCTCGCTTTTATAGACGGGCGGCGAACGGGCGGCTCACCGCCCGCCCGGATGGAAACCCTACTGGAATAATCCCGCCAAGGATAAAAAAAATCGGAAAATTTGAAAAGAGGTGTATGGATCATGAAAACATGCGAATTTTCTTCAGAAATTTTTTTTCCAAAAACTTGGTTAATTTGTATTTGACAAGATGCCAAAGGTGTTTAGAGTATGGAAAACTGCTGAAAACAGCTTTTGAGCTCAAAAACAGGTCATATAAAAAACCAACAAAAAATAAAAAAAGAGTTTCGACTATGAAGGAGTCGAACCATAGAGTACCATTTCCCCATCCCGCCGCTTTACCACTGAACCATCCCACTGCTGTTTTCAATGGTTCTTCAAAGCGTATAAAAGAAATGAGGGTACGTGGAAGCGTTCACGTATGCATTTCAGTGCAAAATCTACTGAAAACTTCTGACCCAAATTTCTCGAGTTAGCGGAGGCCGCCGCAAAAACTGAGCATATATTTGAAAATGAAATTTCATCCTCTTTCGAATGATATAGGTCTCGTCCCATAACTCCACATTTTCTGTGAGTCATTCCCTAGTAAATTTAACATTTTTATCGTCGAAAAACGTCTGAAAATCTAAAAATTCGGAAAAATCTGAAAATTTTAAGCTAGGATTCTGGGAACTGTCAAAATCTTCCAAAAATAGTCGAGTTTGGGCTCAAAATGCTCCATATTTTTTGGAAAACTCAAAAACTGAATTCTCAGATTTCAAAAAAAAAAAATTCCAAAGAAAATTCGATTTTAAAAACCCAAAAAAAATGTTAAAAACAAAACTTCTTAAAAATGACTCAAAATGCTCCAAAACCTATAAAATTTGGTCACAAAATGCTCCGAATCTTCCTGCAAATTCAAAGCGACCAACCATTTTCAGTTTTTCACAAAACTGAACACATGTCTCAAGGGTTCTGCACTTCTCTCGTTGTCCTCGTCTCATCCCTCTCGTCGGGTTGTCCTTGGCGGAAATTTCCAGAAAAAACGTGGAAAAAAGCAGAAAAACCACAGAAAATCGATAAAATCTCGGGAGATTGCTCATCTAGAGGGGAATATGACAAGAAAATGGAATAGAAGAAGAGGGGGGGGGGGGGGAAAGGTTAAGGCTGAGCAATCAGTGTAAGAATTCCGTTTTTCCGGGGGGAAAAGGTAATAAAATGGTGGTGGCAACTGACAAAGGGGGGGGGGGGGGACTTTTTATGACGCATCTTTTTATTATCAAAAAGCAACTGTTTTGTTGTGGCCGCAAACATTGGTTTTTTTAGATCAAAAATTATTTTTATAAACGAAAAAAATTTTTTTTGGAATTTTTTTTCCTCTCGAGCCCATCAACTGATAAGAAGTGATTGTTTTTATTGATCAAAAAAATTGACAAGAAATAGGAAAAAATTTGATTCCAAAAAACCTTTTCTCGAGCAATTACATAAGGTTTTCAAAAGTTCCACTGAAAAATTGTCAAAATGTCGTATGGACCATAACTTTCTTATTTTTCCTTCAAAACTCATAAAACTAATATTTTCAAACTTGCCTTGTTTTGAGCCTTAAAATGAGTATAAACACGACATACTTTCCGAAAATTCCAATTGTTGACCTTAAAGGCGCATGGTCCAAGGCAAAAATTGAAATTCACGGAACCTGGTCTTGTTTATACTTGTTTTGAAGCTCGTAACAAGACGAGTTCAAAAATCAAAGTTTCGGAAGTTTTGGACAAAAAATTCCCAAGTTATGTTCAATTCGGAAAATGTGTGTGTGTGTGTGTGTGTGTGTAAAATTGAAATTTACGGAACCGGGTCTTGTTTATACTCATTTGCCCAAATGCTCAAGTTATGACTAATTATCGGAAAAGTGTCAGTTATTTTTTAAAGGGTCCATAACTTTTTTGTTTTTGCTTCCAAATTCACGAAATCTATTTTTGTGCTTTTTTTGTTTAGAGCTTTAAAATGAGTATCAACACAACCTATTTTCAAAAAGTCAAATTTTGACTTTAAAGGCGCATGGACCAGAGCAAAATAGGGCAAAATTGAAAATGAAGCAAAACTGGTCGTGTTTAGGCTCAAAATGTTGGAAAATAGATGAAAAATGCAATGAAGTCACTTTCAGAAGGTTATATCCACAATTTCTGAAATTTCTTATTCGAAAAAAATTAAAAATAAACATTTTTTAAAAATTCGAATTTTTCAAGCAACTGGAATTGCAGTCTGTGCAGCAGCCTGTCTCACAAAACTATTCGTCCGTTCACTTGGCTCCACAGAACTACCGTACTGCTGATTCGTCAGAATATCGATTCTGGAAGAATTCAAATTTTCAGATTTTTTTCAACAAAATTTTACCTCAAAAATTTCCAAATTTTTTCCTTCAAAACTCTCCGATACACAGAATTGCTCATAACCATTACAGTAACCTGACACATTGAGTGAGATCCCATAAGGAACATCATATTGGTGGCGATTTCCTGACTTTCCAGAGATTCGGTTAAAGTGATATACAGTATGATATTCTTCGGGATGATAATCAGACCACCAGGCAGTGCAAGTTGCATGGATAAGCTGAGCAATGCGGCTCGATGCATATGGTAGGTTTGAACGGACATGTGACTGCGCAGGCGTTGCAAAAGAATCATGGTATGGACCCCCAGAGAGAAGCAGTACCTGCAAAATGTGTTCATTTGAATTTGTTTTGAAATTTCCAACATTTTGAGCCCAAACACGACTAGTTTTGGACCATTTTCAATTTTGGTCAATTTTAAGGGGGGGAATGGGAGATTTATAAATTTTTTAAAATATGTCGTGTTTATACTTATTTCAAAGCTCTTAACAAGGCAAACTCAAAAATATAATTTTCATATACGTTGGGGCAGAAATAAGAAAGTTATGGTCCATGCAAACTTTTGACACTACATTTCTTTATGTTTGAGTGGTCCCAAATTCTTTAGTTGTTTCCGAAAGTTGACGAAAACTAGATTTTTGAACTCAACTTGTCATGAGCTTTAAAATGAGTATAATCATGGCTATGTTTCTTGAATTTTGAAAAATTCGGTTTAAAGGCGCACACCCTCGAGCGAAAAATGGAAAAAACCGAATTTCTCAAAGCTAGGTCGTGTTTATACTCAGCTTGAAGCTCAAAACCAGGCAAACTCAAAAATATATATTTCATTGATTTGGAAGCGAAAATAAGAAAGTTATGGTCCGTGCAAGCTTTTGACACTTAAAATTTTTATTTTGGAGGGGTCCCAATTTCTTTAGTTGTTCTCCAAAAATGACGAAAACTAGATTTTTGAATTTGGCATGCCATGAGCTTTCAAATGAGTATAAACATGACCATATTCTACCGGTTTCGATTTTTGGCCTGGACCATGCGCCTTTAAAGTCAAAATCTGACATTTTTGAAAAATATGTCATGCTTATACTCATTTTGAAGCTCTTAACAAGACAAACTCAAAAATATGAGTTTCATAAAATTTAGAGCAAAAATGAGTAAGTTAGGGAACATAGTTTTGAGATGCAAAATTCTAAAATCAGCCAAATTTGGATTCAAAATATCTGAAATGAAAAAAAAACAATCACCAAACAATAATAAAAACGAAGACAAATGCTCCGGCTCCAGTAACAATAATCATTGGATTCGCACTACTGTCATACGCTTCAAAACCATCAAACGCCATCCATTTTAAGCATTGTGGATAGTTCTGGAACCTTAAAAACTTTTAAAGGAGTACTGTAATTCGACCTACTTTCTTGACATAATTATATTTTTGTTGATAGGTGAGACCGGAGAAAAACATACAAATCGAAGTGGCAAATGGGAAAATATGGACCAAAAATAGCGCGGTTTTTTTGACGAATTGTCGAGAAATGTGATTCTGGAAAAATTGAATTTTCAGAATTCAAATTTGATCAAATTGTGCTGAAATTAGTTTCATTGAATTTTTCATGAAATTTCCAACATTTTGACTCCAAACACGGCTAGTTTCGCTTCATTTTCATTTTTGGCCTTTTGTGCCTTGGACCATGCGCCTTTAAAGTCAAAATTTGACATTTCCGGAAAATGTGTCGTGTTTATACTTATTTTAAAGCTAAAAACAAGACAAGCTCAAAAATGTAAAATTCATGAAATTTGAAGGAGAATTCAAAAAGTTATGGTCCATATAAACTTATGCAACCTAAAAAAGAGTCAAAATAGAACTTTAACGGAATAGATTTGTTTAAATTGGTTCAAAAACAACTTTTTCAAAAACTTTCATCAAATTTCCAACATTTTGACCTCAAACACGACTAGTTTTGCTCCATTTTCAATTTTGGCTAATTTTTGGTGGGCCCTCAAAAAAGGAAATTTTCGAATTTTTTCAAACTATATCTTGTTTATACTCATTTTGAAGCTAAAAATCAGTCGAGTTCAAAAATAAAAGTGGTACACAATTCGAACCAGAAACAAAAAAGTTATGGACATAAACGCCAAAAAAGACACACTTTTTCCGAAAACTGGCCATAACTTGGGTAGTTTTGGTTCAAAATTTATGAAAATTAGATTTTCGAATTTCTCTTGTCATGAGCTTCAAAATGAGTTTAAACACGACTAGATTTGAACGATTCTGATTTTTGGCCTGGACCATGCGCCTTTAAAGTCAAAATTCGACTTCTCTGAAAATATAGCTTGTTTATACTTATTTTGAAGCACTAAACAAGACAAACTCAAAAATATGAGTTTCATGAACTTTGGTGCAGAAATGAAAAAGTTATGGTCCCTTTTTGAATTCCAGAACTACCTGACAAATCTGTACAGCTGCATTATGCCTATAAACAAAGCAACACAGTCCACCAGCCAACTCGAACGAATAAATCCCAACCCAAATGCTCATACTTTTATGAGAATCTATAAATTTCCCGAAAAACTCTCCAGTATTATATCCACCGACTAATGGGAAAAAATAGTAGCCAGGACATATCCAAGACATGTATAATTCGGTTAGAAACGCGGCGAGCTGAAGAAACTTTCAATTTTCTAAATTGAGATTGAATTCAGCAAGTTGAGAGCTTCAAAATGAGTATAAACAAGCTATAGTTTGAAAAAAAAATTTGAGCGTATTCTTTGGTCTTAAAAGTTTGCATGGTCCATAACTTTCTCACTTCTACTCCAAAACTCATGAAACTTATTTTTTCAAACTTGCCTTGTTTAGGGCTTCAAAATGAGTATAAACACGACATACTTTCCAAACATTTCAATTTTAGACCTTAAAGGCGCATGGTCCAGGTTAAAAATTAAAATTCACGGAACCTGGTCTTGTTTATACTTTTTTTAAAGCTAATAACAAATCAAGTTCAAATATTTTATTTTCATGAATTTTGGACAAAAAATGCCCAAGTTATGGCCAATTTTCAGAAAAGTGTCAGTTATTTTTTTCTGGCGTAAGGGTTCATAACTTTCTTATTTTTCCTCCAAAATGTATGAAACTTATATTTTTGAGTTGGCCTTGTTCAGAGCTTCAAAATGAGTATAAAAATGACCTATTTCCAAAAAGTCAAATTTTGACTTTAAAGGCGCATGTACCAGAGCAAAAAAGGGCAAAATTGAAAATATAACAAAACTGGTCGTGTTTGGGCTCAAAATGTTGGGAACTTGATGGAAAATTCAGTAAAATCAGTTTCAACCCCGTTGGAATCGATTTGAATTGCGAAAAATTGAGAAATTTGAGAAAACTAAAAAATAAAGTCAAACGGCTATTTATCAACTCAAAATAGGCCGATTTTGGTTAGATTTTTTTTCAAAATTTTTCAAAAAATTCAAAGTTCCCGCCGAACTAAAAAACCAACTTACCTGACTAATCTGCACAGCCGCATTATGTCTATAAACGAAACAACACAGCCCACCAGCCAATTCACACGAATAAACCCCAACCCAGAGGGAAAAGCTCAAATGAGCACTTATGAATTGCCCCAAAAACTCGCCAGTATTATATCCGCCGACTAGTGGGAAGAAATAATACGCTGGACAACCCCAAGTCATATGGAGCTCGGTTAGGAACGCAGCGAGCTGGAAAAAGGGTCAAAATAGAACTTGGAACTGTCCAAGATGGTTTTAAAGTGATATTTCCGAGTTTTTCATTTAATTTCCAACATTTTGAGCCTAAACACGGGTAGTTTTGGTCTATTTTCAATTTTGGTCAATTTTTAGGATCTTGCGCCTTTAAAGTCAAAATTTCAAAATTCCCAAAGATATGTCATGTTTATACTCATTTTGAAGCGTTTAACAAGGTAAACTCAAAAATAGATATTTCATGAAATTTGGATGAGAATTCAGAAAGCTATGTTCCATATAAACTTTTGACAGGGAAAAGAGAGTCAAATAAGGAATTTAAGGGAATAGGACTGTCTGAATTGGTTTGAAACTACATTTTTTGAATTTTTAATCTAATTTCCAACATTTTGAGCTTAAACACGACCAGTTTTGCTCTATTTTCAATTTTGATGAATTTTTAGGATCTTGCGTCTTTAAAGTCAAAATTTCAAAATTTCTTCAAACTATAGCTTATTTGTACTTATTTTAAAGCTCTAAACAAGGTAAATTCATAAATATAATTTTTAGCAAACTTGAATCAAGACTGAAAAAGTTATGGTCCATGCAAACTTTTTGAACCTAAAATTTTTTTTCAAACTATGGCTTGTTTATACTCATTTAAAAGCTCTCAACCTGCCAAACTCCTTTCTTATGCTTATTTGCAAAAAATACAGTAACCCACCTGCATATAACACAAACAATATTTGTAGCCGAACATTCCAGGCGACTGGAACCATACCAACCAGAATCCGATTAAGTTTATTGGCAGAGAAATTCCACCGATAATATGTAAAGTGGTTGAATAGTAAGCTGGAATGGTGTCCGGGCATGGTGGGGGCATTTTTTTGACTAGAAATTTTGGATTTTCAGAATTTTTAAAGCCAGAAAGTGGAAATTTGAGATTTTTGACATAAAAATCGCTGGTATTTATTTGTCTCTAGTAGTAATTTTTGACAGCTGAAAATGATATTTTTAAATGAAACTTTTCTGAAAATATGGTTTTTGAACCACTCCCTCGAAAATATTTAAAGTTTTCACCTGTAGGGTTGATTTGGGGTACGAAACGAGTTTTCTTAAATCATTATTATGAAATTCGGAAATCTGAAAATCATAAATAATCCAAAATTTTGATTTCCCGCCCAACCAAATCGATGTAGAAAGCAAAAATAAAAAGAATAAAAAAATAAGCCCAATGCGGGGCTCGAACCCGCGACAACCAGATTAAGAGTCTGGTGCTCTACCGACTGAGCTAACCGGGCGGCGACAGGGAGAGAGGGCGAGTGCGTATAAGAAGGGGAGGGAAAGTGGCGCCGACGGGGAGACGCAGAGAGTGCGAGGGGAAAATTAGAAATGGAGAATTTGGTGTATTTTGAAATGCTCATAACTTTCTTCAAACTTAATAATTTTGGAAATTTCAAACTGTATTTTAAAGCTCGCAAATAGCTCTACAAATATAAAATTATACAATCTAAAAAACTTTATCAAAGTTGGTCCATTAACAATGATTCTAGGTTCCTCAAAGTTGAGGTGTCCAAAATGCAATGTTCAAAGAGTATTTTTAGAGATTACGCAGTGTTTTAATTTTGAAAACTTCAGAAAAAATGTTTTCCCCGAAATTGGCGTTCTTTGCACCTGCTGCTTCATTGGATCAGGCACACTCTGTCAAAGCAAACGTCTGACTTTTTTATTTAAAAAAAAAGATAAATTGCCCAGAATGCCAATGCAAGTGGGTTACTGTAGTTTTAAAAGTGAGCTTGAGAAATGGATTTGAATGGTTGAGAGCTTCAAAATGAGTATAAACATGACATAATTTTTGAAAATTTTTTTGAAAATTTAATTTTTATGATAACTTTATCATTTTCGATCCAAAATTGATGAAACATAGTTTTTTGAATTTGGATTGATTAGAGCTTCAAAATGAGCCCAAACTCGACTAATTTTGCTTATTTTCGATTTTTGACATTTTTCGGGCGGTCTCTTCAAAAAATAGGTCAAGTTTGAAAAATTGGCAAACGTTGTCGTGTTTATACTCATTTCGAAGCTGTTTTCTAGCAAAACTTGAAAATTTTAGTTTCATTGGGTTTAACCAAGAATTTAGAAAGGTATGGACAAAATTGAAAATTTTTGAAAAAAAAATAATACACGCCTTGTTTTTTTTTCAAAAACAGAAATACAGTAATCCAATCAATCTAACACTTATACTGTGATTCTACTGACGTGTAGAGCTTCAAAATGAGCCTAAACATGACCTATTTCTGAAAATTTTTAATTTTTGACTTTAAAGGCGCATGGACCCTTGAAATTTCGAAATTCTTGAAATATAGGCTTGTTGGGGTTCATTTCAAAACTGAAAATCTCACAAATTGAATGGTATAAAATTTGAATGATTTAAACAAATGGTTGTTGAGATATGGGGGCTATTTTCAATTTTCCAACTATTCCCATTTTGGGTCAAAATTTCAAAATTGAGCAAAACTAGTCGTGTTTGGGCTCAAAATGTCAGAAATTTTATGGAAAATTCAATAATTTTAAATTAAGGTACTTTTTTTTCCTGGGTATCCATACAATGGTGATTCTTCAACGGCTACGCCGTCACATGTCCGCTCAATCCTACCAAGCTCATAAAACTGCATTAATAAGCTTAGCAACGCAATTAGTGATTCCAGGAGTCCTAATTATAGTTCCAATCGACATGTGTATGTATGTCGTACTCACTGACTCAACCGGACTGCAAGGTACCTACTAACCCAGAAAAGAAGTTGCCACCCGAACAGAAAACAACTTTGATCCCTTATATCTCGGTTCCTATAACAAAGATCAAAAAATAGTCAACTGATAAAATGTTGCTGATAATATGATAAACATTTTATCAGTTGACCACTTTTTGATATCTGTTACAGTAACCTAGATACAAAGGACCAAAGTTGGCTTCACAGTGTTTACGGTACATTAACCTTATTATAGAGCTCGCAACCGATTCAATGTTCCTAATCGGGTCGCATTCGATGTTTCAGGTTACTGTAATGATAATGAGCAATTCGATGTATCGGACAGTGCTGAAGGAGAAGTTTTGGAAAATTTTTAGGTTTCAAAAAAATTTAAAAAAATATTTTTTTTAAATAATTTTTTTAGATTGGACATTCTGACCAACCAGCAGTACGGTAGCAAGTTTGAGGACAAATAGCTTTGTTAGACATCTTCAAAATTGAAATAAAACATTTTTTTGTAAAATATGAATTTGAAATTTGTCTGAAAATGGCCCAAAAAGAGGCCTAAATCCTCTGAAGTGTTTTTCCAACGATTTTCCCTAAAACCAGGACCCCACTACAGTAACCCAACTTAAAAAAAATTAATTATTTTTTAAAATTAAACATTCCCCTCCCCCTCGTTTCTCCCACGTTTTCCGCCCCCTCCTCTACGCCCTCCGCCCTCCCTCTCCACCAGTGGCCGGATGGTCTAGAGGTATGATTCTCGCTTCGGGTGCGAGAGGTCCCGGGTTCGATTCCCGGTTCGGCCCAAATTTTTGTGCTTCTTTTTTACTGATTAATATAGAATTCTGATGAAGTTTCCACATTTTTTTTGACATTTTAACATAGTTAAAAAAATTTTATAAGCAATTAATTTTTTTGGGAACTTTCAGCCTTTAAAAACATTTGGTTTTCAGACCGAATATATTTATTTGACCATAAAAAAGGCGAGTGAGTGAGAGAGTTAGAGAAAAAGAGCAGAGAGAAAGTTGTGTACAGGTTATCGAATATTTAATGATAAGATAATTCTTATCAGCAATCTTCTCTTCTTCTTCTTCTTCTTCTTACCCAAATAGTCTTCTTATTGCTCCAACCATGCGTTTCGCATTATTTTTACTAGTGCCAGCACTAGTTCTAGTTGGGAGATCGGTGAGTTTTGCGGCTTAAAATTGCCTGAAATCCCGGAAAACCCCATCGAAAATAGCGTTAAAATGACCGTTTTTGCATAAGACCATGAAATCGAAGTTTAGCAAATTTTTGTCTGGACATTTTCTCGAAATACAGCAAGCCATTCGACTCAAAACACAAACAATCGCATTTTTCACGCCGAGAGCTTCGAAATGAGCCCCAACAAGCCTATATTTCGAGAACTTCAAAATGTGAAGGGTCCATGCGCCTTTAAAGTCCAAAACTCAAAGTTTTCGGAAATCTGTCGTGTTTGGGCTCATTTTGAAGCTCATAACGCGGTAAATATGAGAAAAACAGTACGAATGGCTCGAAATCAACTGATATCCCCAAAACAACCTATCAAAAATCGCGGTAAAATGACGATTTTACAGAAGTGTCTCAAATTGACAGTTTTACAAACATTATCTTGGATTTTTCTCAGAGTACAGTAGCCCAACTGCTTTGAAACGCATTTGGTTGTCTTTGTGAGGCTTAGAGCTTCAAAATGAGCTCCACCAACCCTATCTTTTAAGAATTTTGAAACTTCAAGGGTCCATGCGCCTTTAAAGTCAAAAAATGCATAGTTGTCAGACAATAGGCCTTGTTTGGGCCTATTTTGAATTTCACAATGAAAAAAACTAGACAATGTAGTCAAATGGCTAAAAATCGCCTAAAATCCCGGAAAACCCCATCAAAAATGACTATATTTGCAATATGGCTGAAATCGAAGTTTAGCGAATTTTTGTCTTGGACTTTTCTCGAAATACAGTAAGCCTATACCCTCAAAACAGAAATAATTGCATTTTTCACGCCGAGAGCTTCGAAATGAGCCCCAACAAGCCTATATTTCGAGAACTTCAAAATTTGAAGGGCCCATGCGCCTTTAAAGTCTAAAACTCAATGTTTTCGGAAATAGGCCGTGTTTGGGCTCATTTTGAAGCTTACAATGCGGTCTATATGCATATGGCTAGAAATCAATTAAAATCATCAAAAAAACCTAACAAAAATCATTCAAAAATTATGGTTTTTACGTCAGTACCTGAATGGGAAAAATTGCGAATTTAGTTTTTGACTGTTTTCTCGAAGTACAGTAGCCCGACTGTTTTGAAACACATATAGTTGTGTTTGTGACGCTTAGAGCTTCAAAATGAGCTCCACCAACCCTATCTTTTGAGAATTTTGAAACTTCAAGGGTCCATGCGCCTTTAAGTCGAAAGTTCAAAGTTGACAGAAATAGGCCGTGTTTAGGCTCATTTTGAAGGTCTTGACAAGATAAATTGAAGTACTTTTATAAGAATTAACAGTTTCTGGCATTTCGGGAAATATTCCAAAAATCAGGAAAACGTTAAAAATTTGAAAAACTGAATTTTCAAATTTAGTCGTAACTCAGGCCATTTTCGACCGATTTTTATGGTTTTAGGCTCAAAAAATTGCATTTTTCTCTACTTTTCGAAAATTAGACAATCTTTAAATAATTATTTTTTTCTAGACCGCCCACCAATGCGACAAAGAAACCGAGTGTGGCGATGACGAGACATGCTGCAAATTGGGAGACCAAATGTGGGGATGTTGCCCAATGCCTCAGGCGGTTTGTTGTGATGACCGTACTCATTGCTGTCCATCTGGAACTACTTGTGATCCCCAAGGTGCCAGATGCATCGGAGAGGATTCCAATCATATTCCAATGAGAAAAAAGAAGCCAGCAAGAAAGACAGTGGAGAGAAATGAGTTCAATGAAGTGGGTTACTGTAGATTTTTGGTTTTAGCTCGTCAAGAGGGACTTCAAAAAAATATATATAAACATGACCATATTTATAGATGTTTCTTTTATTAAGTTTTCGATGGTCCCGAAGAGGAGTGACCAAAATTTAAACGATCATAACTTTGCGAATTTTGATTCAAACTTATTGAAACTTAATTTGTTGAATTAAGCATGTTAAAAGCTTCAATTTGACTACCCACAAGCCAGGTTTTCCTAAAAATTAAACATTTTAAATTTTTTAAGGGTCCATGCCCCTTTAAACCCAAAATTTCAAAATTCACCAAGTATAGGCATGTTTATACTCATTTTGAAGCTTTCGTTCTGAAAAACGCAGAAACTATACTAATTTCGAGCTTGGTTCCGATTTGACCAGGATATGGTCAATTTTTCATTTTTGAGATTTTTAAGAGTCCCAAAAATTCAAACGATCATAACTTTGCGAATTTTGATTCAAACTTGTTAAAACATTAATTTCTGAGTTAGGCGCATAAAGAGCTTTAAATTGAGTATCCACAGTCTATATTTTACTCAATTTCAAAAATTTGAAGTTTTTAAGGGTCCATGCGCCAAGAAATTGAAAATTTCAAAATTCACCAAATATAGGCATGTTTATACTCATTTTGAAGCTTTCAAAAAGTCAAACATGAAGTCACTATGAAAACTGTGCTAGCTACGGTAGTTTAAAGACGCATGCTACCGTTTAAAGGCGCATACCCCCCGTCAAAAATCAAAATTTTCTAAAGTAGGTCATGGTTATACTCATTTCGAAACTCTTAACATACGAAAAAATTTGAAACTAAAATGAGCTAGATACCTGCAAAATGAAGCAAGTTACGGTAGTTTGAAATTTGCGACATGGTGCATCGACAGAGGCTTTGACCGCGTAGCTCCGCCGGTTGAAAGGCGCAGGACCTTCAAAATTTTGTCCATATAATTAACAGCCTTTTTTCAACATTTAAAGGCGCAGAACACAATTTTTTTTTGGGAATAGAACTTTTGTTAAAATAGGCGCGAAATTCGAAATTTCAAAATTCCAAAAATTCCGAAAACGGTATTTTTCCAGGTTCTCTGCCCCGACAAGTCCAGTAAATGCCCAGACGGTTCGACTTGCTGTCTTCTGGAGCAAGGAACGTATGGATGCTGCCCAGTGCCAAATGCCGTATGCTGTCCAGACATGCTCCATTGCTGTCCAAACGGTTTCCAGTGTCACGGACAGTTTTGTTCTCAAAATGTGAGAAAACATTTTTTTTTTTGAAAATTTTGAACAAAATGTTTTTCAAATTTTATATCACAACATTTATAATTTTAAGGCGGTTCTAATGGGGCTAAAATTATTGTCTGAAAATTTCTAGAAAAAAAGTTATGAGCAAAAAACAAAAGTGTTTCAAAACATTTTTTGATTTCCAGTTTTTGACTATAAAAATTGTTCTAGAAGAGCTAGGGCAACAAATTTAGGCTTATTAGAATTTTCAAAAATCTAAAAATTAAAAAATTTCAACTTTGAAGTTCGCCAAAATCCCACATCTCCGCAAATTCGCTTCCACCAACATCCACCGTAAGCCGGCTATCGATTTCTTGCCAGAAGAGGAGGATCAAGACGAGGATGGAGAAGTTGTCTCCACTGAAAATTCTGCTGAAGAAGACGTCGTCGCAAATTTAGAAGACGTAGAGCCAATTTCATGTGGAATCGGAAAAACTTGTCCGGCAAAAACGACGTGTTGTAAGATCCGTAACTCTGAAGGGGAGAGGAAGGCAATGTGTTGTCCATTGAGCAATGTAAGTCGTTGAGTTTTGCGTTTTGAGGTGTGAAACCTAAAAATTTAAAATTGTCTTGAAAAATGCTTCAAAATGAGTATAAATATGTCGATGTTTTGAAAACAAAAATTTTTTAATTTTTTTGTTTCAAATTAAAAAGATCGTGCATTGCTCAGTTTTGCTCCAAACTAAGTTTAACATGAATCTTCAAAGTTGTCTCATGAAGAGCTTCAAAATGAGTGTAAACATGACCATATTCATCGATTTTTAATTTTATGGGATTTTTTTTTGAGATTTTCAAAAAGGCCAAAAATTCAAATAATCATAACTTTGTGAATTTTGGATTTGATTTGTTTTAACATAGATCAACCGATTTAGCATAAGGAGGGCTTCAAAATGAGTACCCACAAGCCATGTTTTCCAAAATTTTGAAATTTTGGAAATTTTCAAGACCCATGCGCCTTTAAACTGAAAATTTCAAAATTAAGCAAATGTGGTCATGTTTATACTTATTTTAAAGCTCTTAACTTGACAAACTCGAAAAATTAGCTTAAAAATATTTTTTACGGATACGGTCAAGGTATAGTCCACTTTTCATTCCCAAAAATTCAAACAAGCAAAACTTTGCGAATTTCGATTCAAACTTGTTTGAATTTTGATTTTCAAATTAGTCGTGTTTAGCGCTTCAAAATGAGTGCCCAAAAACCAAGTTTTCCTAAAATTTCAAATTTTGAAAGTTTTCGAAGGTCATGCGCCTTTAAATTAGCAATTTTCAAAATCTAGCGAATATAGTCATGTATGTTTATACTCATTTTAAAGCTCTTGAATTGAAAAATTGAAAAATTCAATTTTCACAGTTTGAAAAACCAAAGCTACAATTTTTCCAGGCGGTCTGCTGTGAGGACACCTGCTGCCCGGGAGGCTATCACTGTGTAGCTGGTGGAAAATGCGAGAAGCACGCGAAGACGATGAGGACTAGATTCTGGAATGCGGAGAGAGACATGGAGGATGAGGAGATTTAATTTTTGTCTTTAAACTGATTAATGTTCTTGTTTTGAATTTTTAGATGGTCATCTCTTTTGAGTTTTGAGTCATGCGCCTTTAAAGACCTCATATACAACATATCCTACTGTAACATTCAAACCATAACTCGAGAATGCTTTAAAACTGGCATTAAGTTTGTTTAGAGCTTCAAAATGAGTATAATCATAACCATATTTGCTTGATTTTGAAATTCCCAATTTAAAGGCGCATGGGCCATGGCTTGAAAATAACTTGTTTGAAAATTAACAATTAAGAACTAGTTTGAACGAAAAACCATAAAGTAATCAAAGTTCCAAAACCTTGGCAATGCAGATTGGTAGATGGGAAACACCTCCCTGAATCCTACATTGACAAGGCGAGTGTGGCCGTTCTTGATCCCCCTGCCGTTTGTTCTCGGAGCATGCTCCATAGCTCTAACCAGTTGAGCCAGTCAGGCGACCAAAAAGAGGAGAAGGGTGACATGTATAGAACATAGGGGAAGAAGAAGAAGAAGAAGAAGAAGAAGAAGACGTGAAAAGAGAGGAAGAAGAAGCCTCTTTCCCATTTTATTCTTCTCTTCCCTTTTTCTCTGCGTCTCCTCTATTATTAATGTGTCTCCAATATCTTCACGGCGGCCTAAAACCTCGCGGAGTTTGAGAATGCGTATGTAGCACGCCTTTCCGCCGCTTCAAAGTTAACCCATTGAGCTCAAATTTGGACAGATAGATTGGAAATGTGTCTAGTTAGATGCCCAAACCTTTTCTTCATTCAAAATTTAGATTTTGAAGTCTTCTGAAGACGTTCCTTGGTTTCACCATAGTGAATGGTAGAGGGCGAGGAAGAGATGTTGCTTTTATGTAGAAGAATTAGACTTTTCAAGTTGTTTAGCATCAAGATCATAACAGAATTTATTCAAATCACAACCAAAACCACAATCAGTGTTTCTTATTCAACTGGGCATCACAATAGTTATCAGTATCGCAGGAGTAGGTCTCACAAACATAGTTGGCTGCTCCAGTCATCAATCCCTGATTCTCCCAGTAGGTAACCTGTCCGCTTTGAAGATTTAGGACTCCACTGGTGCTCGCAGCGTTCTTCGGATACCCCATATCCCAATTAGACCAGACTTGAAGGGGTACTTGATCGATTCCGATTGGTTGTTCCCAGACCCAATTGTTGGCACTGCTCAACCAACTCAATCCAACGTTGTATTTGTATGGTTGTTTGACTCCTGGGTCGCTTTTGACGACTTGAAGAATGAAATTGTGCTTGTCCCGACTGAATTCGGTGGCCAGATAGGAATTGTTCCAGCGAGTGTGGCAGGCCATTTTGGAAGAGAGCCAATTGGCTGAAAGGGAGACGTATTGGAGGCAGAGACCGTAGTGATAAGAGTTCTTGTCGGTGAATTGGACGCGGTATTGATCCCAATCGGTTGGGCAGAAACAGTTGGCTGGAATTTTTTTTGGTATATTTTCTTGATTTAAAATCTCAATCTTTGAGTTAAGCAAGTTTTCACAACGTCAAAGTTGCTCAGCTTGAAATTTCCGTCATTTTGATACCCATATTGCCATATTTTGCGGAAAATGGAACTTCTGAATCCAGAAGACGCCAAGAGAATTCTGAATACATGAATTCTTTCAAAGTAAGGCAACATGGATATCTAAATGATGGTAATTTGATGGAGATCAAACTTGGCGATGTGAAAACAATTTTTTTGAAAGATGGAAGTTTTGAATGTTGACGTCTTCTGAATTTCGAAGGCATGAAAATTCAGAATTTCAATTTTTAAATTGAAGTGATCCGTCAAATCTATTCGCCACAAGATTTCCGCTAATTTCTACCCATATTGTCATAATCCGCAGAAAATGGGTATTCTGATTCCAGAAGACGTCAAACAACTTCAGAATACATGAAATTTTTCTAAGTATGGCAATATGAGTATCAAAATGACGGGAATTTGCTGGTTGGGGATTTCGACCATGTAAAACTAAGTTTTTTTGAAAATTGAAAATCTGGATTTTGACGTCTTCTGACTCTGACTTAGGAAGACGTAAAAACTTAGAATTTTTATTTTTGGGTTGTACAAAATATGGCTTTGTCAAAATGGCTAGATTTCAAATTTCCGTCATTTTGATACCCATATTGCCATACTTTGCAAAAAAGAAAATACTGAATCCAGAAGACGTCAAGAGAATTCTGAATACATGGATTCCTTAAAAGTAAGGCAAAATGGGTATCAAAATGACAGGAATTTGCTGGGGAGTAACTTTGACGACGTCAAAAATGTTTTTTGTGGATTTCAAGGTTTGACGTCTTCTGAACTGATAACTCAGAAGACGTGAAATTTTCGGAATTTTCATTTTTGAGTGGAACGACATATGGCATCGTAAAACTAGACTCCGAATTTCCATCATTTTGATACTCATATTGCTATAATTCGCAGAAAATGGGTTTTCTGAATCCAGAAGACGTCAAGCGACTTCAGAATACATCAAACTTTTCAAAGTAGGGCAATATGGGTATTAAAATGACAGGAATTCGCTGAGAAGTAACTTTGACGATGCCAAAAATAGTTTTTGTGAATTTCGAGTAGTCACGTCTTCTGAACTGAGAATACAGAAGATGTGAAAACTTAGAATTTCGATTTTCTAGTTAAAATACTTCGTTAAATGTATTTCACTCAAAATTTCCGTTGCTTTGATACCCATATTGCCATAGTTTGCAAAAAATAGAAATTCTGAATCCAGAAGACGTGAAGCGACTTGAGAATACGTGAAATTTTTCAAAGTAGGGCAATATGGGTATCAAAATGAAGGGAATTGGATGGCGAGTAACCTTGACGATGTCAAATTGACACTAGCTCTCTCACTTGAGAAAAAAAAACTCAAAACAATATTTCCCTCGTTCCTCGGCTCAAACTCACCTTGAAGAAGTGCTCCTTGAATCTCTCCAATAACATTATCAGAGTCATCAGTATTTGAGAACGAGTATCCCGGCGTGGCAATTCCAGCCAAATCCTTCAACAACTGCCCATTTCCTCCTTGATCGTAGGCTACAGTAACGATGTAGACTCCACTTCCCTTCATCTCATCGGCCACTTTAACTGGGTCCAGTTCTCCGTAACTTTTGTATTCCGATGCGTAAACAATCACAACCTTCTTATAATGATTTCTGGTTGAATTGAAACTTTGAGAAGCGAAGAGAGCGTTGGCTGCCTGGAGACCAGTGGCCAAATAGGAATCCGTGGCATCTGTCACTGCTGAGAGATAATTGAATACTCCATTGTAGACGTCGTTTATCGATTGAAATGTGTTCAGATCTGCATTCACTTTGGCCACAGAGTTATAGGTCACAAGACCGACACGAGTGGTGCGGGGTTCGGTGGCGTTGGTGCCGATTCGAGTGCCACTACTGAAGACAGTGGCGATGTTGGCAGCGACCTGGAAGTTTTGATTTCCAGAATATCGAACCAAAATTTGAATTTTCCCGACAAATTTGGACAATTTTGAAAAATGTTCCGAAAAACTAAAACTACCGTAACTTCCTCACTTTGTGTCTAAATCCTGTGAAACCTAATTTTTCGAATTTCTCGCGTTGAGAGCTTCCAAATGAGTATAATCATGACATATTTTCTTGAATTTTGAATTTTCGCCCTTTTTTAGACCCCCTATGCGCCTTTAAACCCCAATAATCGAAATTGAAGGAACCTAGGCATGATGGTTATCATTTTGAAGCTCTAAACATGACAAAATCAAAAAACCATTTTGTAAAAAGTTTGGAGTAAAATTATCTTTAAAAAAAGAAAAATAATTTTTAAAGGTATTTTCTCAAAAAAGTGATATTACTGTACCTTTTTCACTTGTGCTTTGAAATCCCTGAAACTTGCTTTTTTGAGCTTCTTGCGTTAAGAGCTTTAAAAAGAGTATAATCATGACCTATTTTCCCAAATTTCGAATTCTCGCAATTTTTGGACCCTCATGCGCCTTTAAACAGCCAAACATCGAAAATGAAGGAACCTAGGCATGATGGGTATCATTTGAAAGCTCTTTATTAGTCAAACTCGAATCTGAGGTCAAAATGAGTCTAAACACGAGTCTAAACACGATCAATTAGCTCGAAATTTCAACTTTGGTCTATTTTTGGCGCCAAAGCAGCAAAAGTCAAAATTGACCAAAACTAGTCGATTTAAGGCTCAAAATGATGGAAGTTTTGTGATAAAATTATACATTCTACTTAAAATTCTTTATTCTTTCAATTTAGACGTCCAAATTGAGATCAAAGGTGTCTCTTCTGCTGAGTCATCCTTATTTGGGTCCTAAAAATTTAAACTACCGTATCTTTTCTAATCGTTTTCCAAAGTTTGTGAAACTTAATTTTTCAAATGTCTCACATTGAGAACTTTAAAACGAGTATAGTCATGACCTATATTTCTCAATTTTCGAATTTTCGAATTTTTTTGGACCCCCATGCGCCTTTCAACTCGAAAAATCGATATTAAACAAAGGTAGGCATGATGGGTATCATTTTGAAGCTCTCGGTGTGTTGAATCTTAATTTTCAATCTATTTCCACTTACCGAGCTCAATCCATCAGTTGTCATTCCTTGAGAGTTGTCGACCACGGCAATCACATCTAACCAGAGATTACCTAGGTCGTCTCCACATGGGCGGTCCGTATAGGATTGGGGATTGTAGACGTCGGCTGTAAGGGTAATTAGAGGTAATTAAAAATGAAAAAAAAAGAGGAAACATACCGTATACTGTAGCGAGAAGGATGAAAAGACAGGCGAGAGTCTTCATCGTTTCCTAGGAGTAGGTACTGTTTTCCCATTTTCCACTAATTCTATTTATACTAGAATTTTGTGACTTTTTGGGAATTTTGAAACTAGAGAATCTTCTCTTATCAGTTGAAGAATTAAGACGCCAATTTGCTCATCCCATTTGCTGTGTCTGCGTCTCTTGAAAAATCGCACTATTTCCTTGATTTAATATGATTGGATGTACTGATAAGGAGCCGACACACCCAGGAAGATTTTGTAGAAAACACAATTTAGAAAACATAGTGTAAACTTTTAGGAGACGCAGAGAAAGTTATGTTTGGGTGGAAATGGATGGGTATTCTTTTGGTTGTTCCGCTGATAAGAAGTTTCGAGGAATTTCAAAAAATAGGAGAAAGTATTTTGAGATGGAAAATAACATTTTGAGGTTTTATTTCTGAATTTCTGGAATCTGGAGAAGAGATTTTCAGACAAACTTTCGATTTGGAAAGTTTTGCACATTGTACATCTAGCTCACAATGAAATTTCCTTCAATTTGATACCCATATTGACCATATTCCAAAATTTCGAAAATTTTGATTCTGGGGAAGAAGAAGAAAATCTGGAGATGAGAATTTTTGACTTCAAACTTGACGAGTCTTTTTTTCTCATTGAATTTTGATTTCCATAAAATTTCCTTCAATTTGATACCCATATTGCCCATGTTCCAAAAACTTGATTTTTTTAGAATTCGGAGAAGAACATCCTGAAGAAGACTGACTTCTTAACTTCGGGTGGGGATGTCCATTCAATTTCCTTTAATTTGATACTCATATTGATATGATTTTAATAGTTAAACATTTTCGGATTCAGAAGACGTCAATATTCAGAATTTCAGAGAACTGAAAAAATTGCGCAAAATGGGTATGAAATTAACGGAAATTTAATGGAGTTCCTTCTATTTCACAAAAATTCAAACAAATTTATTCATCCAATCTTCCATCAGAACTACAGTAATTATCAGTATCACAACTGGCAGTTTCACAGACATAATTCGCCGCCGTTTTCAACATATCAATATTTTCCCATTTGGCTTGTCCAGTTTGTTGATTCAGTATTGCATTTAGTGTAGAAGAAGCAATTGGATACCCGTCCTCCCAATTGTACCATTTTTTGAGTTCCGGTTGCTCCCATCCAGTCGGGCGGTCCCATTTCCAGACTCCGCCTACTTTATTCCCACCGATATGGTAGGAAAATGGTTGGTGAAATCCTACTGTAGAATTGACAATATCCAAAATGAAGTTGTGTTTTGACAAATTGAACTCATTTACGAGATAAGAATTATTCCACCGATTGGCGCAGGACTTTTTTGCGGCTTTCCAAACTGCGGTGAGTGTCACTGGTTGGAAACAGACACCGTAACGATAGGAATTGGTGTCCGAGTAGAATTGACGATACTGAATCCAGTCGTTGGGGCAGAAACAGTTTGCTGGAAAACGCTTTTTTACGTTATAACTCTTTTATTATCTGTTTGAAACTGATTTCACATCGTCAAAGTTGCTCAACGTGAAATTTCCGCCATTTTGATACCCATATTGCCATGCTTGCAAAAAGTAGAAGTTTTGAATTCAGAAGACGTCAGAGGTTTCAGAATACACGATTTGCTCTAAAGTAAGGCATGATGGGTATCAAATTGACGGAAATTTGCTGCTTAGTAACTTTGACGATGCCAAAATAATTTTTTTGAAACGCTGAATTTAACGTCTTCTGACTTCAGAAGACGTGAAAATTCGGAATTATTATTATTATTGAGTTCAACATAATATGGTATCGCAAAAATACTAAACTTGAAATTTCCATCATTTTGACCATACTGTCATAAAAACAGAAAATCAAAATCCAGAAGACGTCAAGAAGATTCAGAATACACAAATCCTTCAATATAGGGCAATATGAATATTAAAGTGACAGAAATCCGCTGATTACTAACTTTGACGGCGTCAAAATAAATTTTAATTCAAAATTGAATTTCGACGTCATCTGAATTCCGAAGACGTGAAAATTCAGGTCTTCGATTTTTTGGTTAACATCATCGTCAAAGTTGCTCAGCGTAAAATTTCCGTCATTTTTTTACCCATATTGCTCTAATTTGCAAAAATGAGACATTCAGAATCCAGAAGACGTTAAGAGGAATCAGAATCACAAAATTTTCCGAAGTTGGGCAATATGGGTATCAAAATGATGGAAATCGCGAGTCTTGCAATCTTAACGTCCCTATTCCCAGAAATATATGCTGAGCAATGACTTACACTCTAAAAGCGCTCCTTGAACTTGTCCAATAATGTTTCCCTCGTTTTCAGCGCTACTAAAATTGAATCCAGGACTTGCAACTTGAGATAGTTGCCTCAAAAGCGTCCCATCTCCACCTTGGTCATAAGCTACAGTAATTATTCGGACTCCGGAAGTTTTCAATCGATTAGCAACGGGTAACGGGTCCTGTTCCCCTGTTCCACGGTAGGAGGATGCATAAATAACGACGACTTTTTGGAAGTGACTTCTAGAAGTGAATTTCTGAAATTTTTGGCACCCCAATGCGCCTTTAAACCCGAAAGTTCAAAATTCAAGGAACCTAGGCATGTGGGATATCATTTGAAAGCTCTCAACGTGAAAAATTCAAAGATTTAACATCCAAAAATCCCAGAGTCAAATTCAGGCCGATTAAGGCCTAAAATAGGCCGAATCAGATCAATTTTGCACTAAAACTGTTCTAAACCTGAAATTTTGTACATTTTTACCCAAAAACTCCTTCATACAAATCGTCCAAACTCTGAAATTTGTTCAAATCCGCATTCTGCTGAGCTCTGGAGTTATAAGTAACTAGACCCAGCCTAGTGGTACGGGGCTCTGATGGACTGGTGCCAATACGAGTACCAGCACTGAATACGGAGGCGAGATTGGCGGCAACCTAAAAATTCAAGGATTACTGTAGGTAGACTTTGCTGAGCAATTTCCGCGCCTAAAAGAAGAATTGGAAAGTATGGATTTTGAACCGATTTATGGCGATTTCTAAAAACTGAACGCTTGAACATTGACCTTAATTAGCGTTAATTAGGTCTGATTAGCCTGAATCAAAAATTTTTAGATTCAACTTGATGAGAGCTTTCAAATGATACCACACATGCCTAAGTTCCTCGAATTTCGATTTTTCCGGTTTAAAGGCGCATGGGTCAAAAAAAAATCGGAAAATTCAACTTCAAAGAAAATAGGCCATGATTATATTCGTTTGAAAGGTCTAATTGCCGGAAATTCAAAAATAATAAAATTAGCAAGTTTGGAGCAAAATTGAAAAAGATACGGTAGTTTTAGAAGTTTTCCCAAAAAATTGTTTTGCCTTTTTTTCAGAGTATTTTTGCTCCGACTTCTTTGAAACTTGAATTTTTAAACTGTGCAAGCTTCGCGCTACAAAATGATACCCCACACGCCTAGGTGCCTTCAATTCCGAATTTTCGGGTTTAAAGGCGCATAGGGGTCCAAAAAGAAGTCAAAAATTCATAAGTGAGAAAAGTAGGTCGTGATTATACTTATTTGAAAGCTCTCAACGTCAGAAGTTTAGAAATTGTAGTTTGAAACACTTTGGAGCAAAATTCCAAAAGTTAGAAGGGTTTGAAATTTGAAAACATCACCATTTTTGGCTTAAAAATCATATTTCTGGGTCAATTTTTAGGATCTTTTTTTTTGAAATTTCTTACCGAATCCAATCCCTCATCAGTCATCCCAATCGAGTTATCAACCACGGCCACTACATCCAACCAAAGATTAGTCAAATCTTGGCCACATTCCCGGTCCACATAGTGAAAATCGGTTTTTGAGAATTCTGGAAAAAAACATTGTTTTGACTTTTTTTTCTCAAAATTCAATTAAATTTTAATTAGGAATTTTGCCAAACTTTTTTTCTACTGATAAGGAAAGAAATAATTTTGGAAAGGATGTTTTTTCAGTACAACAACTTGTACTTTGTTATCTGGGTGTGTTTTCTTCCTGTTTTTGAACACTTTTGATAACTGTTAGGGGTATAAAATATGGTCCAAAAATGTAAAAATCATATATCACTCTCTCAAAAACCATGAAGAGCTTTTTACTTTTTTCTTTAATTCGAGTATACTGTAAGCGATACCAAATTCATATTCTGACTCAAAATTCCGAAATTTTCAGCCATTTTGGCGGAATATCCAGAGGAGCGAAGATGCGGATCAAAAATGGAGAATCTGTGGTTGGATGTGGTTCTAGTTGTGGATAATTCGAAAGGAATGACAAAGGATGGGCTTACTGCGGTAATTGAATTCTAATTAACTTCTAATTAACTTCCTCATTGAGTAATAATCGAAAATCCCGTTTTCTAAGATAACTATACAATTCTACTTCAAACACTTGTAACTTTATAAATTCTCCATGAGAATTCCAGGATTCTACACATTGGACTTTTTTTTTAATCAAAAAATCAATTTCCAGATCTCGGCGAACCTTGCCTCAATCTTCAGTGACGCTCAAATTGGTATCAACCCATCGAATCCAAAAACTACACGAATCGGAATGGTCACTTATAACTCCAACGCCACCGTTGATGCTCACTTGAACTATGATTGGCCAAAAAACAATGATGTGCTAAACTTCTACTCAACCATGTCCGAAATTTCCGAAGATTCAACATCATATGTGGCTCATGGCCTGCAGGCGGCTCAGAATTTACTATATTCGGAAAGTTTCGGTTCTAACAGATCACATTACAAAAAAGTCATCATTGTATGTGCGTCAACATTTAAAGGAACTGGAAAAAATGATCCAATTCCGGTTGCCAACCGTCTGAAAGGCAGAGGCGTCAAAATTCTGACGATTGCCTACGATCAGGGAGATGAGAAGGTTGTGGAGGAGTTGGCAAAGATTTCAAGCCCCGGATTAAGTTTCAAGCAAGATGCGAATATGACACTGATTGAAAATACACTCTTGGAAGGTTTGTACCACGATTTCAAAATATGAAATCTTTGTTCCACCCATTTCATGTAATTTCAGTAAATTGCTTCTGCCCAAGCTCCAATTGGTACCAATACCGCACTCCCGGTCAATCCTACGGTACCTGCATCCAACCAGTCGGAATGTCGGCTGTATGGTTCGCTGCGCTTGCTTCCTGTCAGCTTCGTTGGAATACTTCCTATTTGGCATCGGAATTCACGCTAGACAAGCATCAATTCGTTTTTGAAATCGTCAAAAGAACTCCGCAAATTCGGGAACCATATGCCTATCACATTGGATTGCGCCGAATTGATGGGGAATGGTATTGGGACCAACCAACTGGACTACTTCCGGTCAGAGATTATAAAAATTGGGGATACGATTATCCAAGTCAGTCGAAGAAACTATCGGTTGGGATGAACTTTGAAAATTCTGGAAAATGGATGGAATGGAAGAATGTGGACCCGAGGTTCCCATCCAATTATGTTTGTGAAACCTCTACCTGTGATACTGATAACTATTGTGATGCAAGTGTTGATGACCATTGATTTTATTTTTTTAACTCTTTATTTTTTCAATAAACCACTTAACACACATTCTCTGTAGGTTTCGAGCATCGACCCGTTTTCATGTGCACAAAAAACCAAATTGTTTGAAATTATTTAGTATTGCATACAGTTAGTACACTTGAACTTCTGAGAATTTTGAGAATACTTTTCATTGGCTCCGCCCACTTGGATCCGTTTTTTGATCAAAGCTTTTGGTGAGGATTTTCTATGACTGTTTAGTTAATCAATTTTTTAAAATTTTCGATTTTTTCCAAAATATTTCTGGTCCAAATTTTTCGAAATAATGAAATTTGAGTTTGTCGTGTTTCATACTTTAAAATGATACCCCACACGCCTAGGTGCCTTCAATTCGGAATTTTCGGGTTTAAAGGCGCATAGGGGTCCAAAAATATTCAGAAGTTTCAAAATTTTTGAAAGTAGGTCATGATTATACTCATTTTAAAGATCTAAACACGAGAAATTCGAAAATGTTAGTTTCAACAAATTTTAAGCAACAGCAAAAGGGATACGGTAGTTTCTAATTTTCCTTTGAAAAAAAGTTTTTAGAATTTTTAAATTTATTTTTCTGGAAATTTCGAAATGTCTTCAATACTACGACCTACAGTACCTTGAAATTCTTGTCAACAAAAATTACCCGGAATTTCGCAAAATTGTGCATTTTTCCCCAAAATTTTCTTATCAATTATGACAAATTCTTTTCTTATCTTCTCATCCTCCAATTTGTTCTCTGCGTCTCTCGATGTTCTGTACTCTCTAATTATGAATCAAATTCTGAATCATCACATCCTCCAGAATTCAGAATTCTGGATGAACTAAACATCTGGAATTTCAAAAAAAAAAAAAAATTTTTTTCAGCAAAAATTCTTTTTTGTTGACTAGAAAATATTTTGATAAGAAACTTTTTATAGTACTCTTAAAATTTTGTATGATCCATCATTTATCAAATAGAAAGATCACTTATCAGAATCAGCTGCTTCTTTTTTTCCTCACTTTCTCCTTTTCTTATCCCCCGAATAAATTTTAACACACGGTTTTTTTTTTGCCCAACGACATGCCCTTTAATCGTTTGAGATGTTTCGGAGAAGATAAAAGAAGAAGAAGAAGAAGAACTGGATTTCTATGAATACACATGGTTTACGGAGAAGCAGAAGAAGAAGAAGAAGAAGAAGAAGAAGAAGGAAAAAAAGAAGAAAGGTGTAAGCATGTAAAGGTTGGGAAACCGTAAACAAGGTGAGATTTTATCTTCTTGGTTTTTTTTTAAATTCAGAATAGAAGCATCTGTGACGTCATCTGGTATAAACTTCTGAAGCTGAAAGAAAAAAGAAGAAAAGCTAGTGAAAAAAGAACTCCAGAAAATTCCCAACATTTTGATACCCATATTGTTAGGTTTTGAGAATTTTGAAAAATTTAGATTTTGACGCCTTCTGAATTCAAGGTCTTCATAACTCGATTCTTCTTGATTTTTATTGGTCTTAATAGCAAAAAAAAAGAAATACCGCAAAATTTGAGTCGGAATTGACCCCCATATTGTCATGACTACAAAAATTTGGTGCTTCTGAATTCTGACGTCTTCTGAATTCAAAATTTGAAAACGTTTTAAAGATGAGCGATATGCATATGAAATTGTTTGAAATTTTATGGAAAACAAGATGAAAAATGAAAGAAGACTCAAAATTGAAGCTGGACCCGGAAAATCTCTTCTCCAGATTCTACCTAGTTCTTCTCGAATATTCGAAATTTTGAAAAATCTGAAAGATGAGCAATATGGGTATCAAATTGTTGGAAATTTTATGGGCAGTATGATAAAAATTGAGAAAACGCCTGAAAAGTTAAATTGACACAGAAAATCTCTTCTTCAGATTCTGCCTAGTTCTTCTCCAAATTCTGGAATTTTGAAAAAAAATCGAGTTGCTTTCTAATTTTAAAAATTAAGAAGCTTATAACGCTGATTCCTGGTTTTTTGTCCATTCCGTCCTATTTCAAGGATTTGAAGAATTCTGAATCCAGAAGACGTCAGAATTCAAATTTTTGAAAAATCTAAAAGATGAACAATATGGGTGCCAAATTGAAGGGAGTTTCATGGACAATACGTTGAAAGTTGAAAAAATGCCTGAAAATCAAAAATTGACATAGAAAATCTCTTCTCCAAATTTTCTTCTTCTTCTCCAAAATCCAAATTTTCGAAATTTTGGAATATGGGCAATATGGGTATCAAATTAAAGGAAATTCTAAGGAGAATACGTTGAAAGTTGGTGGGACGCTCAAAAACTAAACAAGGCCCAAATAATCTCTTCTCCAGATTTTCCTTTCTCCGAAATTCACATTATTTCAATTTTTCTGAAATTTCAGAATTCAAATTTCAGATTTTTATCTAGCAATTCTTAGCCAAGCTTTTTTCTATTGTCTCATTTAAAATTGTTACACAATTTTAACACAGATTTGGCATCAAGATAGTCGCCGCCGACGGAAAAGTGGGCGGAGCCTAAATTAAGTTATCTTTTCCGTCAATCAAGTTCAAATTTGGCCTCCAAAAAGGCAACAAGACGTATAAAATCCTCTCCACGTCGTCTGAAATCTTCAGAATCCTCTTCGGAAGCTTCTAGAAACAAGCATGGCCCGTTTCGTGGCCGGCGCGCTTTCCGCCGTTTCTGGCATCGTCATTTTGGGATCCCTTGTGATCGCTGGTGTCCTTTTCAATGACATCAACACCCTTTATTTCGATGTCATGGATGATATGCATGAGTTTAAGGTGAGTTTTACTTCGTTAACTTTGTTCCTCGCAAAATTTGCGAAATTTTGATACCCATATTGCCTAGCTTCCGAAAAATTCTGAATTCTGACGTCTTCAGGATTCAGAATACTCATTTTTTGAGAAATGGGTCAATATGGGTACCAAAATTTCGCATTTTTAATTTCAATACGTTCTAACAACAAGGAAATCTTCTTAGATTCCTCTTTTTTTTAATTCTTCAAATTTCAAAGAATAACTGAAAATTTAGCTCCTCGCCGACGACGCCTGGAACAAGATGATCATGACCCAACAGAATGCACCAGAAAACACCTTGGAGTCCTTGTTCAAGCGTGGAAAGAGACAGGCCGGAGGATCATGCAACTGTGGACCACAGCCAAGCAACTGTCCAGCTGGACCAGCTGGTTAGTTTTGGACACAAAAATTGAAAACTAGGGGTTATTATACATTTTCATGACGTTGAAGTTGCTCAACGTGAAATTTCTGAAATTTTGATATCCATATTGCCATGGTTCCGAGGATTTGTTGTTTTCGAATTCTGAAGACGTCGGCAGGTTCAGAATTTAGAAACTTTGAGAAAGTAGGGCAATATGGGTATCAAAATGACGGAAATTTCATGGGAGATCTTTTTAACGTCGGAAGTTTTAGTTTTGCAAATTCGGATTTTGAATTCTGACGTCATCTGAATTCTAATGTTCGGAAATCGTGAAAACGATTGATTTTTGACATTTTTTCACAACGTGAAACTTGCTCAGCTTGAAATTTCTGAAATTTTGATACCCATAACGTCATACTCCAGTTTTTGGTGGATTCTGAATTCTGACGCCTTCTGAAATCGCAAAACCTAGTTTTTAAGTTAATAGGGCAATATGGGTATCAAAATGACGGAAATTTCATAGAAAATCTTTTTGACGTCAAAACTCAAATTTTTGACAATGTTCAGAGATTCTGAATTCGTTGACGCTTCTGGACCAAAATTCCATTTTTTTCTGAAAGTACAGCAATATGGGTATCAAAATAACGTATTTTTAATTTTGAACACTTTTCAGGGCCACCAGGAGAGCCAGGAGCACCAGGAGACGACGGAGCTCCAGGACAAGCTGGATCCAACGGTCACGACGGAATCCCATCCCCAATCGACCCATACGCACAACATGAATGCATCAAGTGCCCAGCCGGAGCTCCAGGACCACAAGGACCAGATGGACCAGCCGGACCAGCAGGACCAGACGGTCAACCAGGACAAGACGGAGCCTCAGGACAAGACGGTGCTCCAGGAGCCCCAGGAGCCCAAGGAGATGCCGGCGCAGCAGGACAAAACGGAGAGAATGGAGCACCAGGAGCTCCAGGAAAGAATGGACAACGCGGACAAGGAGCCCCAGGACCACAGGGACCAGAAGGACCAGTCGGACCAGCTGGACAAGATGGAGCCAAGGGAGAAGATGGAGCTCCAGGAGCACAAGGATCTGAGGGAATCGCTGGAGCACCTGGAAAGGATGGAGAGGCTGGACCAGATGGAGTTGCTGGAGAGAATGGAGTTGAAGGAGCACCGGGAACTGATGCAGCATACTGTCCATGCCCACCAAGAACTGTTGGATATGGAGAGGTTGAGCAACCACAGGCCGAGCAGAGTGGATATAGAAGACGTGCTTCTAGAAGACTTTAGATCTTGTGGATTTGAGTTTCTTGGTGTTTGTACATTTCTCGAAATGAATTTTCAATTTTCATTTGTTGGGCCTTTATCTTCATCAATTTACCGTCATTTTGATACCCATATTGCCTAAATTGAAAAAACTTTGGAGATTCTGAATTCTGACGTCTTCTGAATCCCAAAATATAAAAATCAAGAAAAGATCGGCGATATGGGTACCAAAATGACGGGAAACTTGTGGAGATTCTTATTTTGAAGTTTTTACTTTTTTCCATTAAAAATTTTAGGGAAATTTTGGTCATTTTGATACCCATATTGCGAATCTTCCGAAAAAATGCATTTTTTTGGGATCTGGAGAAGAAGATTATTTGAATCTTGTTTTTCTCGTAATTTCTGTCGTTTTGATACCCATATTGCTCATCTTTCAAAAAGTTCGAAAAATCTGATTCCTGACGTCTTCTGAATCCCAATACATCAAAATTGAGAAAACATGTGCGATGTGGGTATCAAAATGACGGGAATTTTGTGAGGATTCTAAATTTCATCAAATTTCATCAAGTTGATCAGTACTACAGTAATTATCAGTATCACAAGTGGCCGTTTCGCAAACATAATTGAGTCCAATATTCATAGCGCCAATATTCTGCCATTCAGCATCCGACCCATTTCCAAAATTCGCTCCAGAAGTTCTAGATGACGTGGAAATCGGAAATCCCGAATCCCAACCAAACCAATGTTGGACCACCGGCTGCTCCCATCCATTCGGTCTGTCCCAACTCCATGACCCATTGCTCAGCGTTAATCCAATGTGATAAGAGTACGGTACTTGAAATCCGCGGGTGTTTTTGATGGAATCAAATATGAAGTCGTGTTTATGTTGAGTGAATTCATCAGCTAAATAGGAATTTTTGAATCGATTGGCACAGGAAATTCGGGCGGCCCGCCAGACGGCCGTCAGACCCACTGGTTGAATACAGACACCACCTGGAGGGGAGGTGGAGTCCGAATAGTACTGACGGTATTGGGTCCAGGTTGGTGCGCAGAAGCAGTTGGCTGAAAAACGTGATATTTTTTCTTCGAATTCTGAAGACGTCGGCAGGTTCAGAATTTAGAAACTTTGAGAAAGTAGGGCAATATGGGTAACAAAATGACAGAAATTTCATAGGAAATTTTTTTAACGTCGGAAGTTTCAGTTTTGCAAATTCGGATTTTGAATTCTGACGTCATCTGAATTCTAATGTTCGGAAATCATGAAAACGATTGATTTTTGACATTTTTTTACAACGTGAAACTTGCTCAGCTTGAAATTTCTGAAATTTTGATACCCATAACGTCATACTCCAGTTTTTGGTGGATTCTGAATTCTGACGGCTTCTGAAATCGCAAAACCTAGTTCTTAAGTTAATAGGGCAATATGGGTATCAAAATGACGGAAATTTCATAGAAAATCTTTTTAACGTCGGAAGTTTCAGTTTTGCAAATTCGGATTTTGAATTCTGACGTCATCTGAATTCTAATCTTCGGAAATCGTGAAAACGATTGATTTTTGACATTTTTTCACAACGTGAAACTTGCTCAGCTTGAAATTTCTGAAATTTTGATACCCATAACGTCATACTCCAATTTTTGGTGGATTCCGAATTCTGACGGCTTCTGAAATCGCAAAACCTAGTTTTTAAGTTAATAGGGCAATATGGGTATCAAAATGACGGAAATTTCATAGAAAATCTTTTTAACGTCGGAAGTTTCAGTTTTGCAAATTCGGATTTTGAATTCTGACGTCATCTGAATTCTAATGTTCGGAAATCATGAAAACGACTGATTTTTGACATTTTTTCACAACGTGAAACTTGCTCAGCTTGAAATTTCTGAAATTTTGATACCCATAACGTCATACTCCAATTTTTGGTGGATTCTGAATTCTGACGCCTTCTGAAATCGCAAAACCTAGTTTTTAAGTTAATAGGGCAATATGGGTATCAAAATGACGGAAATTTCATGGGAAATCTTTTTAACGTCGGAAGTTTCAGTTTTGACGCCTTCTAAATCCGAAAATCCCCAAAAACACTCACCTTCCAACATAGCCATTTGAATATTTCCGATAAGCGCTTGATTATTATTTGTAAAATTAAACCTGGGACTTGAAATTTGTGCCAACCCATCCGCCAATTGCTCATCTCCCCCTCCTTGATCATAAGCTACAGTAACCAATTTTGTTCCAGCCGATTTCAATCGATTTGCAATCGAAATAGCTTCTCCATTCCTATTAAAGGTTGATGCGTAAATCAGAATCAGTTTTTTATAGAATTTCCGTTTTTCATTTTTCCCGGCCTCCAAAATTTCTTCGGCCGCTTCTAAGCCAGTCTCTAAATTAGAGTCATCTGTCTGGGATACTGTAGCCAGATCCGTGAAAATATTATCGTATAAATCGTCGATCGATTGGAACTTGTCCAAATATGCGTTTTTCGTTGCTTTGGAACTATAGGTTACCAGGCCTAGTCTAGTGGTTCTAGGATCATTTGAATTGGTCCCGATTTTGGTCCCTTCACTGAAAACTGATGCGATATTGGCGGCAATCTAAAAATAGAAAAATTTAGGAGGCATTTGGAAATCGAATCCAGTTTTTAAATTTTGAAAACGTCGATTTTGAGCCAAGTTATTAGGTTGGCGGGAAAGTCTTTGTCACTTTTTCAATAGTTTATTTCTCAAAGAAAAAATAACCGAATAATTAATTATATTGTCCATCATTATCAACAACATGTCTCCAACGTTCCCTCAATTTATGGATTCCATTGCGGTAGAATCCAGCCGGGCGTGAGGCAAAGTATTGTTTGAGTGCCGCTTCGACCGCTCCACGGGAATTGAAGCTTCTTCCTTCGAAGGCACGTGTCATATCGCCAAATAACCAATAGTCGGAAGGAGCAAGATCAGGAGAATACGGGGGGTGAGGGAGAACATTCCATCCATATCCCATCAGCTCCTGCTTCACTTGTTTCGAAACATGTGGGCGAGCGTTATCATGTTGATAGTACACTTTCTTGTCTTTCAGGGCCGAACGGTCGACTGCTTTCTTGAGGTTTCGTAGTGTAGAGGTCTCCAGTTATTGTTTTGCCCTCGGGCAGAAGTTCCCAGTAGATGGGGCCGTCCACTCCCCACCACACAGAGAGCATAACTTTTTTCGGATGAAGGTCGGGTTTGGGGACATCCTGTGGGCTCTCTCCTTCTCCAACCCACTGGGATTTCCTGTGGTGATTATCGTAGAAGACCCACTTCTCATCTCCGGTTATTAGCCGGTCCAGCCATCGATCGCCCGCGTGGAGAGTGAGAAGAGTAATCGAATCGTCGACTCGGCGGTCAAGGTTGGCTTGAGTCAGGTGATGAGGTATGAATCGACCAAAAAGTTTTCTCATTCCAAGAGACTTCAAACCTTCAAGGACTGTGCTATGGTGAACTCCGAATGTGACAGCTAGTTCACGGCTAGATTGAAATGGATCCGATTGCAATGCGTGCTTCAGCTTGTCCAAATCCAACTCACGGGGTCTCCCAGAGCGATCCTTTTCATCGAGCGAGAAGTCATCTTTTTCGAAACGATGGAACCAATTGCGAATAGTATTGTAGTGAGGGGC